AAGGAATGGCTATTAAACTATTGTGTAGGAGCCCCAAACATTTATGTAGGTCCTATATAAACAGTTATTTAAAAAGTATTAAACTATAATAAACTTCCACATTAAACTACAAAAGCATAAAAAATGTATCAGTAATAAAATCTCGAATTAAGTATATTCCCTATGCATATTAATTTTTCTTCTTTTCTTTTTTTTTTTTATGTCTTGAATTCTTGGCCAGCTGGAACAGGACCTACAAAGTCAAATGATGAACTGCATCTAAATAACAAATATTAAGGGGTTGTGTTTCAATAAAACATTGCAAACAGAGGATACTTGTCACTATGACTCCAAAAAATGAGGCCCTTCATCTTTGTATCTCTGCACACATACACATTTCAGACTGTAAGCACTCTAAAGTGTTCTCTTTAAAATCGAACTGTACAGCACATGGCTCTATTTAAAGTACAGTTGTACAGCACCTAGTACTATGGACAGCTAGGTACAACTGATTGTAAATGATTATGTAATATGCATTGTTTTAATAAACTGTACTTCCACTCATAATTGTTCTACTGTTACATTTTCAGATCAGTGAAAAATTAGGGCAATTCATATTGATTTTGCTATTTATAGACAACCTTAAAGTTACAGTGAATGGAAGAACTAAGGAAAGCATATCTAAAGAACACATAGAAAGTTCAGGACAAAACTAGCAAAGCGATAGGAGTTAAACGATCCAGGAGAAAGAGCCCGTGGCTGAACGTGCCTGTAGTAAGAAAGTTCTCTTTGATCAGCTCCCCAGGTTTGTTCTGTTTCACGGAATTCCTCTTGCATCCTCTGATGTGTGCACAAGCATCCTCAAAAACCCCTCACTATCTGACCCCAGGAGCAAATTATTTGGGCAGAATTTTCCAAAGAATTGGCAGTATGTGATTGCAGTCTCTCTCGAGGCAGCCAGCTCGATGGTGTTTGTATTGCATTGCTTCGGAACATGTCTACAGTCAAACCTTGCTAACGTTAATATTTCATTAAATAACACCAGATTCATGTTGTAATAAAGCTATTGCTACAAATGTTGTAGTAGATGACGAGTTAAAACAAATTTTCTCTCTCACTTTTGTTTTTTGTGCCTCCTCTGTTTTATTTCCCAGTTATTTTGCAACTCCATAGTCCCCCTTCTCATTACCTGTTAACTGTCAGCTCAGTCTCAGGAACAACGGAAATTCCTGTTCCAGAGCAATCTGAAGGAGGTTTCTCCAGAACAAAACAAATGCAGTTTGAAATGCCCCCGAAGATAGAAATTGAGAATTTTGTTTAGAGATCTTTGAAGCAGGCAGCAGATGCATTGAGGAGAAGACCACAAACAGCAAAGAAGCTAGTGGCTCCAGAGGATCCTAAGGATCTGTGAGTCTGCATTGCTCCTGCAAGGTGAGTCAGGGTTGCTGTAGGGTCAGCTTCCCAGGGACTCTGCAGCAGGAAGTGCCAGGGGTTGTCTGCACCTTCTGCTGTAGAAATGCACACTGCAAGGGAGGACAAAAGGAAAAAACCCACCCCATTTCACACAGGGCTGATAGTTCAGCCCCACTGGGTACCAAGACTAAGGCAGGCCCTGTGTTTCTTCTCAAGGCCATCTCATTTTTCAGCTTGTTATTGCTGCATCCTAGTTTCAGCATGTGAAGTGTTGTCTTTTCGATGTCTTACAGGCAGTGGGGTAAGAACATACCTGGGTTTTCCCAGCTAAAGGGAACACCATGAAAAAGAACACAGGTTTTTTTGAAACAAGGAGCAAGGGCTGGCAAGCAGCTGAAAAGTGTGTGGGCTGGTAATTGCATGGAGTTTCTTTTATGCTTTGCAACAGTGTTGCCCAAAAGGACAGCAGGTACCATAAAGGGGGCGCTGTGGGTCAAAACAGATTTGTAGATACAAAAGTATTGTGACCAGTTCCAGGCTTCTCAGTACAAGAGAGAGATGGAGCTCTTGGAGCCGGTCCAGCAGAGGGCAACAAAGATGATTAAGGGACCGGAAAGAAAGGCTGAAGGAGCCGGGCCTGTCTCAAGAAGAGACGACTGAGAGGAGACCTCATCAATGTCTGTAAGTACCTGAAGGGACGGTGTCAAGAGGATGGATCCAGGCTTTTCTCCGCAATAGGACCAGAAGCAGTGGGCAGAAATTGATGCACAGGAAGTTCCTTCCACTGGAACATGAGAAAGAACTTCTGTACTATGTGGGTGACCAAGCACTGGAACAGATTGCCCAGAGAGGTTGTGGAGTCTCCCTCTTTGGAGATATATAAGAATCATCCAGATGCAATCCTGTACCCTGTGCTCTAGGATGACCCTGCTTGAGTAGGGAGGTTGGACCAGATGACCCACTGTGGTCCCTTCCAACCTGACCCATTCTGTGATTCTGTGAAAAGGCTGCATCTGTCCCTCTGAACAGGGCAGGAACCACTACAAAGCAGTGGTGTCCTGCAAATTTATACTGGTGGTGGCTAGGGATAGTCACGCAGCTCTGAGTTACTGACATTATTTGTTACATTGCAATTATACACACAGCCCAGGTCTTTGCTATGCTGGAAAAAAACCTCATGTATGAAATAACGTGTTGGACTGTTCTCTGACAATTAAAAATGTAGTTTATTTGCTCTATCACAGGACTAAAACTGGTGTCCTTGTTCCTTGCACTGCCCTTGTTTTTCTGAATGATGTATTGATTTGGGTGAATAGCATCTGTAACAGATGATGCGAGTACCCTTGGGTGGATGGCTTTCTTACTGACAAGGAGGGTACTCTTGCCAACTGGAAGATGGGAACGCACTTCCTCCTGAAAAACTGGTCGCAGTCAGCCTGAGCTGGGGCTTACTTGGTCCTTCTGCAGTTACTGTCCGGCCTCACCACTGCCAACACACCACAGTGTGAGCAATGCAGTTTGTAGGAGAGAAGGAAGACCAGCTGTGTCCTGAGAGGAAGCATTAGTAGGAAAGGAAACAGTGAGCAACTGGTACTGGGAAAGCAGGAACCGCAGTTATTCTTTTGGCCAGGACCTCATGACTGCACACTTCAATACTGAGAATCGTATTTCAACAATATATATTGTTTCTTCTCATCCCTTTCCCCTATCATGTCAAACAAACAATTCCTGCTGGTATTCAGACCAAAGCATTCACATGAGCATCAGCTTCAGGAAGCTTTGCAGCTAGACAGAATACAGTGGAGCTCTTACTCTGGCCTTTCTTGCAATGTGGCATATCCAGATCTCTTTTTCAGTTCCTGATATTCACAAAAGGTGAGAATGTAATATCCTTGAGTTCTCTACCCTCCATCAACTTTAACAGAAGCTTTATCTCCACAATGAAAGGGCACAGGTTAAGGAGGGGCTAGGCTCACCATCCTTTTGTCTCACCAAAGGATTTAAGAATTGGGTGTGCTATTTTCAAACTTCATAAGAAAATTGATTTTTCCATCCAAAAAACCTGAAAAGCTCTAGTTGCCATCACAGGACTTGTTTCACTGACTGAAGTGCAAGTAACAAACAATGAATACAATTAGGATGATCTCCTGACTTCATCTTCAGTCTGTCAATTGCTGAAATGATAACAAATCTAAGAGTAAACAAAAGAGTAAATCTCTCCTGCTATTAGACAAGTTCTCATCTATTGATAAATCTACATAATCTTCCTTGCTCTAGGCAGCAATCTAGGCATTGCAGACATATCCTCATAAAAATCTAAGGAGGAAAGGATTTTTCAAGGCATGTACTGCAGTCATTCAAAGTAGACTTACAGCAGCCAGCCATTATTTTTATTTTTTTAATACAAAATGAAAAGTAAGAAATTGGTAATTTAGGAAAACAACTTTTTATAGAGAAGTTTTAATAAAGAAGAACAATGTTAACTAAGCAAAATAAAACATATTTTCAAATTCTAACAACTGGTCTTAGTAAAATAGCAAGTGAAACATCAGCTCAAAAAAATCCTCAGAGAGAAGTAGTGCCTTAGAGAAAGACAATAATTCTTGAAATTACAGTCAGAAACATCAGCTGATGTTCATACACAACATCTTGTGTTCCAGGAATTTATTACTGTTTCAAGAGTCTGTAAAAACTTACGCCATTGAACCCACAGAGACAAATTCTCAGTTAACTTAAGCCTCAGTTATACTCAGCTCAGCAGAGCAGCATTGATTTACCTCAAATGAGAGTTTACACATTGTAATTTCAAATATTTCCCCTGGTACAGAGTAGGCAAAGATACAAATTCATAAGTATACGGCAGAATTTGGTATCTGGCCAGCTTTTTAACCCCATTTAAAAACATAGAGTAACTCTATAAATTCTTATGCATCTGCTACACCAGAGGGGTCTAAGTTAAAAATCAATAAATTGAGCACAGAGAGCAACATTTGCAAGATAAAAGAAATATAACATAGGCATTAAAACCCAACCCAACCCAAACCAAACCAAAAAAGCCAAGATGTGTCAGTTACTGTGTAGGGCAAGCTTACCTGTCAGTGCTTTTCCTCACACTGTGGTGGTTTGAATCATTTTGCAGCCAGCAAAATGACTTTAAAATAGAGATTAATGTAAAGGAATAGACAACTGAGCTAAAACACAAGCTGGATGCAAGGTCTGTATGAGTCAAGTTTACACCTTGCACTTCTGTAGGGGAGAACAACCTGTTTTGTCTGGGTAGCACTGACCACACTGTGGGTACTTGGCATGGTATAAGCTCAAGGAGCGAACATGAGAAATTCACTCCATATCCATTTATCTCTGAAACAAGTTCCTGCTGCCCTCCATGTTCACAATTAGGGCACTAATGAGCATCCCACGCCATCTTTCTCTCCCTTTTATAAAAAAATATTACTGCTTCTATCAACAGTGACTTTCCCAGCAACTTGAACTAAATGCTTGTTATTTCAGATACCAATTAAACCATATAAGAGCTCTATTAAATTAATCAACAACAAAGTAATTCTCCCTGACATGATGAGAAAGTTCCAAAGTTCTTAACTCAATAGAACCAAAATGGCTGGATTTCAAAAAACAGGAACTGATTCTTGCCCACTGTAAAAGCTGTTTTTCTTTTGGCCTCAGTCCTAATTCTGCCATGTACAACAGCTGAGGATATTTTGTGTGGTAACAGATTTACAGATCCAGTTTTCCCAGCTCTTTCTGGAACCTCCATGCTCCCTCCCACCACATCTTTGTAGACACTGAGCCTGGTAAATGCTGGAGAACTGCAGTCAGGAATTTCATGTTGTTCAGGAATTACACTCACTGTACTCCCATGTTTTTCAAGATCCTAGTCCATCCATATTGCATCTTATATACATATGGTGGGACTGTGAGACATAGCTGAGATCTGACTGGAAGACCTGTCCTGAATCACCATTGCTAAGGGAAAAGCCACCACACTGATCTCCTTTCTTTCCAGTTATTTATTTTATCCAGTAAATATTATGTTTCCTTGTTTTTAAAAGTTGTTTTATGAACATTTGGTTTGTGGTTTCCACATTCATGCTAAAGCATAACATTATGTTGCACATCTATCTGCTAAAAGCTGCTTTTAAGAATAAACTTCCAGCTGTAAATGGATTCCATCAGCTAACCCCTTTCCCTGCACCAGTGTCTGGCATGATAGCCATGAAGCAGAGCTGCACAGAGCAGTACAACTGGAACACTGCACAACTATACAATAACCAGACAGATTGTAAGAATGATAAATAAGGCTTCTAGCAGATGGAAGCTTTTTCCTACTTGCCATTTTGGGAACTGTAAAAAGCACAGCAGCAAGACTTGGTTCAGCTGTCACTAACAACCTTTGAAAAAAGGTGCTTACAACCCCTGGGAAAAAGTCAGGGTGCTCTATGACCTTTTGCAAGTATGATTTATTGACATCCAACTAAATTGGTTACAGAGACAAAAATAATAAATCAAATTGTGCATCAAGGTGCTCAACATTATAAATTTTTGGAGTAAGTGAAGCAAAAACTGGGAATGGTCCTGATTACAGAAAGATTTCCTAAAAATCTGAAAGTCAGTGATCATTCTAATGTATAAGATATCATTCCTTATTCTGAAATCACTAATGCTCTATCAAAACAAACAACAAATTCAGCATTTAGCAGCTTTGTGTAATACGTCATACAGGTGGCATGTTTTTCCAATACTGGAACTAATAAAATACTGTTAACACAGATACAAGACTGCCTGATTCTCGGGAATACCAACCATCTCCAAGGTGTGGAGTTAAAGGAGTTCATCATCTCTTGTGGATCAACCTCCGAAACATTCTCATAAGCTTTAATACAGTTTTGTTTTATACAACAAAAACACCAAATCCACTATTTATATAAAAAAATGAACCGCTTAAATAAATCTTTAACATATGGCAACTATTTATGTTGAAAATTTCTCTTATTGCTTTCAAAAGCTGCAGAAAGAACAGTATCTAAGAACGGAGGAGTACAATAATACATTTGGTGATAAGTTACAGTGTTTACTAAGTTTCAACAGATAAGCAAGATAATGTGCAGTTTCTTATGAACCCACAGTTGCTGGAGTAAGTTGCATCCACCAGTAGCTAGAAAATAGAAAGAATGAATTAGTGAATACTGTGAATTTTATTTATAATAAGCATAATCCATGAATGAAAACACACTCAACCAAAAAAACCATTTTATTTTTATGTCACTCCTTTGCATAGCACCATCTGATTCTAGCCCTTGCAAGATGTATTCAGATATGTGGAGAAGCTGGATTTCATCCTTCTCTCTAGCATATATGCACTGTGGGCCAAGTTTTGCACTCCTCTTCACCTTGCCCCTTCTGAGCTGTATACCAAAAAAATGCTGCATTGAACTAAGTAAGATATGCCAAAAGTTTCCTGCTCTGCCAAGCTGATCATTTGGAGAGACAACACAAGAGACTCACACAAAAGCAGGTGCAAGGACACTAATAACTAGGAGTATGCTGAGCAGTATAGCTGCACTTTTCCCCAGCACACTACCCTTACCAAGTCTGATTCCAGAGTGTAAGTGGGAAGAAAGTCTTGTTCTCAGTCGAGGAAAAGATACAGAAGTAGGCCACAATGTTTACGGGGAGAGATTTTAACTATGGTTTGAGGCATGATTTATCATTTAAAAGCTTTTTAGAATGGACTGTTTTCCTATTCAGAGATTTTTTTTAATAAAAACAGGACATTGAATAAGGACTTGAAGACATAAGGGACCACATAGAAAACCTAAACAGGATTGTAAACACCTGAGGGAAAGTAAGGGGCATGGAAAGGGGTGAGGTCTTTGTTAGGCTGGGGTTTTGGAAGGGGTTGGTTTGTTTGTTTTGAGACCAGCACTTGACCTTTGTGCAACCTGAAAGCTGGTTGGGCCCTGGTTCTGGCTCCATGAATGGTGTTCCTTTTTGCACAGTGATCTGGATTCAACACTAAACTAGCAGACAGTAAGGGGACTGTGTTTGCAACCACTACATCCTTTAGGAGCCAGGTTTTAAAAGAAAGCAGCAATCTTGGAAAACTGATTGGTGGAAGAACAGATCTCTGGGATGTTTCCTTTTCAGAATTTGGGTTTGTTTTGGTCTTCCTTCCAGGCATCTAGTTTTCTGAGCGCTTTATAAAGAATCTAAGTCCAGACTGCTAGATCTGTATTTTAAAAAGCATCTAAAAGAAGTAGATCGGTGCTGGCAAACTAACACATCAAGCATACCTTAGAGAACAGAGATTCAGAAAGGAATGCAATTATTTATGGTGCATTCCAGTTCCACTTGGTCTAAAGGGCACTTTATGCTACCTGGAGTCGCCTCCTGAACCAGTGATGCTGTTTCATAATTCCAAATTTACATTGTACCAAAATCAGAAACTAAGCATCTAGCCTGCAGATCTGGAAGTAGAGCTGTGAGTTTCTGTTCCTATGAACACTATTTCCCTGGACTTTTTTTTCTTTCTATGCTTTGTAATTTGCAAACTGAGCCAGTGTTTTAACACCGAAAGGCCTGAACTGCTACATTACTTTGACATAAGTTTGCAGTGAAGGTTTTACCTTATGAACAGACACACAAAGAAAGGAAGAGCTGGATGAATTCTTCTCAAACTGACCTCCAAGATCATATTAAGTGATGGTTATAAAGTCATGAAATAAGAGAGCTATAACAGCAGGCAACGGCCATCAGGAAATTTTAAGACTGATCCATTGAACTAACACAGCATGGGGATCACTTCTGTGTATGAAAAGTAGCAGTTAAGTTGCTTCGTGCATTCTCTTTACCATTCAGGGTAGAAATAGTGGGAAAGAAGTCCCCCAGTGTCAGTTATTAAAAACAACTTGTCTTAATTATATTGCAGAACACTAAAATAAATTTGGTATCCATCAACACAGCTGAAGTTTTGGGGAAGAAACTTACCAGAATTTGATATTTTACCAAGAATAACTTTATAGAATATATTACGGTTTGTGAATGATGAATATATTTTTATGCGGAAATACACAGAAGTAACATCAAGACAATTTCCTTCCACTTCTTAATATACAGTTGACAGAAGTTTAGTAACTAAACCCAATTATTTAATAAAAAAGTAAGCAGGGAAAACTATACTGCTGTTGGAAACGCAGGGTCAGAGGATCATTGACAACTGGTTACATCGTTCTTGCAGGTGTGTATTAGAGATTTTAAAAAGGATCTATTACTTGTTCAATGATTTTGCTTCATGCATTTAAGAAATGCCCTAGATTATTCTCAGGCATTGTTTTTCTGAAGATGATATTAAAATTCTTCAGTTTACCTTCTTGATATGGAAATTTTGATAAAGAAAATTTTATATAAGGCACTGCTCAGCCCAATGCTTCTTGTGATCAATCCCATGTATTTTAGACAGTTTAGATTGTAAGATAGAAGGCAACACTTCCAGTCTGATTTCTCAAAAATCATGAATCAAATAATGAGATTTGTTCTGTTTAACACCTGCTGCTTTTAATGCATTACAACTTCTAACTTTGCCTTTTGGCCTCTAATTCTTTAATTTTAGATGCTATCAAATATTAGGTCATATGACAAAGTATGGGGGAATCCTCTCCACACACAGAATATACAAACCCAACAATATATTCAGATATATAACTGATATATATGCAGATCAGTCAGTATCACAGTAGTTGCCAAATATGACAATGAGCAAGCTTAATATATCCTCCATAAATTTTGCTCCTTTGCCTAGAAGCTTTTTTTTTTATTTCTGCTACCCTCTTTTGTTGTTAAATGAATGTTATTTTTAGTATAAATGGTAATTACCAACAGCAAAGATAACTACAATTAACCACTCCAATCGATGCCAAGTTTTCACAGTTAATACAAGGATAAAATACAGGAAGGGAACAAGTTATGACAAGAATCTCATTTTCCTTGAAAAGCCAAACAGCCCCCAAAGGTTAAGATTTCCTTTGGAATCAAAGCCCAGATTTTGTCTTCATATAAATGGGAACCTTGCCTTGTTGTAAGCTGTTGGCATGGTAGTCAAGTCTTAAAAAGACATATTAAATATAAATAATTATGCTAACTTCTTTGGTAATAAATTACAGAAATTATAGAGAGGCAGAGTTCCTGGGCAAAGTCAAAAATAGTGAAAAAGCATTCACCTGCCTCTGAGACAATGAGGCTTCAAGGTAACAGAAAGAAAATTCAAATATACATCTAATCTGACATTACAGATTTTGTTTAAAATGGAAAACCTTCATAGTTTTTCCTTCATCTTACATATACTACATGAATCCATTTTTAATGGGTTTTCTCTAGGACAATGCAGCACAGTTGCAGTAAAGTGCAAGCTTTTCTAAGCTACTAGTCTGTCTGCCTAGGAGTCTACCTTATCCCTGCCACATCCAAGTGTTCCAGTCATAAGCCAGTTTAACATGCCAGCTTTTGTATTTGTTTCATGCCATTACAGTGGCATGGAGGAAAAATAAAAGGGGGTGGTGACAGGATATAGACCTATCACATGGAAACTGCATTGTTGCCAGAGTCACAGACACACAGAACAGACTTGAAGAATCATGGATCAGGCTTGAGTTGCAGATAGGTGGGAATGCAAATTATTCTGTTAATGACTGTGACATTGTGATTTGATGGAAAAAAACCAAAAAAATACTGCCCATCTCTGTAATATTCATTCAAAAGTGCTACATTTTTTTCCTGTTCAATTTCTGACCTATGGTTTAGTAGCTTCACAAATCAAGCCATACATATAAAATTATAGGAAAGGGATGCAATTGATTTAGTGCAAGACACTTCAATATTTATCTGAAAATAACAAACAAACAGAGGAAGATCAAAGACTCCATACACTTCTCCATAAGGCAGATGGTAGTTTTTTAAATATAAGATCTAAAATATGTTGTTTATTTCTTAAGAGGTAGAAAATATCAAAATACTAGGAAAAAATTTCTAGCTTAAAACAATCAGTTTGCTTACTTTTTAAAAAGTCTTACTGTTGCAATTTTTAGGTTAATAAAAACAAATGAAGCTATGGAAGCACAGGATTTCGTGCTCTGTATAGATTTCACTTACTGGAAAGAGAGAGAGCTTCTTCATCTACTCAGTGCTCAAGCAGTATATACAATAATCTCCTCCTCTTGCCCTGTTAGGGGCTATAAATTTGAAGTGGAAATTTTTCCCAGTGGAAAATTTTGGCGATTCCTGAATTTCTAGCACTACATTTAACCTGGTACAATTTATGTATAAGGCAGTAGAACCACTGACGCAAGCTCAGAACTACCTCTTCCATAATACTAAGAAGAAAGTTATTAGAAACAAAAGCTTATTTAAATCTTTTCTACAGGCAGCAAAAGATCATATTCAGATTCCAGCACCAGCTGGTAATCTTGTTTTAGCAAGTTATACCTGCCCAGAGACAGCTGAACTACTCATTGCACTGTGGAATCCAACCTACAGTTTGAGTTACTAAGGCTTGCACTCTGATTCCTCAGCACAGCTAGGAGATGCTGATGCTACTGCCTCCAATGCAATTTAATAAGGCATAAGTTAACTCACAGCTGATGTTATTACACATTGAAAAAGTAGTGTAAAAGCTCCTCTTTTCCCTCTCACTGTTTACATTCAGGACTATTTATTAAATATTTTATAAAAAGAAGTTAGGGTATTTATACATTCAAACAATCATTGCAATAGTCGAGTAAAGGAAACAAATTAATTATGAGATTCTAACTTAAGCACAATTTTGAAGATATGCACATTTGCACACATACACACACCCCACACATATACTATGTGTGTGTGTGTGTATATATATATATGTGTATATATAGATATATATAGTTATATTTTACATATATGTCTTTTGAATCAGATCCAAGAATACAGCACAGAATATCTTCACTTAGCTCCTCTTTCACCAGAGGACAGGATTGTCCAGTTTGGAAAAACCAGGTTCTTTTCTAAGGTCCATGTAGGTTCCATTGCTCACCCAGGAGTCATCATTGGATTTCCTGTCAAAGGTTAAATAAATATCTTAAAAGTAAAGCTTATATTTTCCATATATATGCTGTGTAATGCAGTGTAGTACTATGCACAGATACCCAATCCAGCCCATGAACCAGGTGCAGTGCAACTCACTACAGCCTGCAAACAAGCCAGTATAGCATGAAGAGTCAAACAGGTATGTCTGCACATTGAGAGATGCACCTCAATAACCCACTATTCACTTTCACTGTTATATGTCTGTGCTTGGTACTTAAAACTACAGCCCAGGTTTATTTCATGGTCTCAAAAGCAGCTTTGAGGGGAAACTTGACTTCTACCTGTCCAAAGATGGCTCACCATGTTTATTGCATAAAGAGAGCCTATAGCTCTCAGTCAAGAGCCAAAAAATGTCTGCTTTCAATCTAGTGCACAACATGTTTGGCACAATCGCTAATTATTCTTTTAAGTAAATCAAGGCTTGTGGCAGAGAGAAATCACTATTGAAAAGCCAAATGCATTAATTTATATCTGCTCTAATACTTTTGCTATATAGTAATTAAATTCTTTATTCCACTATTCAAATCTACAGCACAAAACTCCGTTTTCAAATCCTCATTGTAAGGATTCAAATGCTGATCCTTATTCACAATTCTCATTGTGAATATACAATCACAAAGTATTAGACTGCCTCTATCCTGCTGAAAGTAATATTTGCTTCTCTTTAGTAGGTGTGATTGGCAAATGATGAGTTAGCTCACCAGCTTATCAGATATCTAGTGGTCTGAACCATTCTCTTTTTGCACCTATTTATACCTATTATAAACATTTCTGTGTTCCTCAGAAGTACAGTTTATATCTATTCAGAAAAAATAGAATCCCAATCTGTTAACTGTGATACATAGGCCCATACAGCATTCACCTTGGCTCCAACTCTTTCACTGCAGAAGAAGAGAGAAGTTGGAGGGCAAAAGACCACATCCCCACTGGCATTCATTTTTGTCTTTCAGTGGCTGAAGTCTCCTGTTTAATTAATTTACAACAGGAAGAGATAAAGTGCCCTCAGAATGATAATTCTCTCCCCATAAAATAGGGGAAACCTGTTTGAAAACAGCACTGGAAATGAAAGGCTCCAACTCAGCACACTTCTGCACCAGGCAATCCCACTGAATTTAACTGAAGTTCAGCAGAGATAATTAAGATAAATCCAGCTATTTCACCTCGTTTGAAAGAATCAAAGATTCTGTCAGTCAGGCAGATTCAAATGTAGACTAAGTATCAATCGCCATCAAGGCAAAAAAATTAAAAAGAAATTCAAGGATGCACTAATGAAAAAGTAATATCTAATTCTGAGTTTTAACTAAGTCTGGAGTATGCTACATCACCAAAGTGTAAAAAAACGAGTATCTAGAAGAAACCTGGAAAAAACTGGAGCCTGCTCCATGATAATTCATAATCAGATCTATAATTAGGAATTTCAATAAATGATAGCATATGCTAAATATTATACAGTACCTGAAAAATCTAGGTTGATGCTCTAGATTGTTTTCTTCTAGCACCTTCCGTCGTTCTCTCTGTAGCTGCTCAATCCTCTGCTTTTGTATTTCAGCTCCTTCAATATTCCCTTCCTCTAGAAACCTGTAGCAGCAGCAATACAAGACACAATTGGTGTTCCTCTCCTCCATTTTATGGCAGGTAGTTCACAGTGTTTCAAAGGCAAACAGCTACATCTGCAGACAACTACACTACCAAAAAGCACTTAAGGAAAACTAACTCAAAATAGTCTGAGTTTAGGCCAAAGCGAGTGTATGGAAGATTAAGAACAATTTAAGGAAGATATTTAAAACTTTTTACCTTTGGTCTGGTCTAAAACGTGTATCAGTGGATGGGAGTAATGACTTAGTTTGAAGGTCCAATTCATTTAACTCCAGTGCAAATTGAGTAAATCCATACCATTGTTCATAATCTTTAGGCATTGGATCTACAGAAGAAAAGAGTACATTCAGAATTCCAAGTAAATGTTATTATCTTTTGAATAAAATTTCCAAGCTCCCTTCAGTCATTTGTTTACCCTTGATCCTCAGCCTCAGTTCTGCGGGAACAAGAGGTTTTTAATAATGTAACAAAAGAGAACATCTCCCTTGATAATTGCTCTGCAACAAGACAGATTTCTGTTCTCTCAGCTGAATCAGAGCACAACTGTGATGAAGGCCATACTATTATCATAGTGCTTTTTCAAACTACAGTAGACAAAATCCCACGAGTCTGGGAGGAGTTCAGTTATGGCTGTCATTACAGAACTGAGCTTTGTGGGCTATCCTCCAATGTTTAACACATGAGATACATGACACTTCTTTATACAAGCAGTGGAGGGGTTTGTTCCTTTTTTTTTTTATTTCCCTCCTGTTAGAGTCCTCAATACCTACTTCATGCCCAAATACGAAAATGAGGGAGAATGGAGAAAATGCAGGAAGCCACAGGATCTCCATATTATTTAAATGATGTTCTTCTCATCTAAATTATAAATGCTTGACAAAAATCTAATATTTTACAGAGAAATAAAAAGAAATTGAGGCCTAGTAAAGAAATAAAAACAGTAAGCTCCTTCTCAAGCAGATCTCAGTTCCTGTACAACAGCTGTTCTGATCACTAACTTGCTCTCCATATGCAGTTTGAAGATGAAGTTGTTCCACAGTATAAACTTTCATGCCACTTCCCAAAGAGTCGATGCACAACTTTCCCAGCTTTATCCATGACACTGCCTTCAATCTCATGTGCATTTGGATTCCAGTACTTCGCCTAGAATTAAAAGGAACAAGGGAAAAAAGGTGCATAAGAGCTCAAGTGTGGTTCATTTTGCCATGCCAGTAGCACCATGCTGTAGAGCAGTTTTCTGAAATTAAAACTATTAATTTAGGTGTGCATTAAAATATCATATGCAAACAACTGCTGTTATTACTATTAATCAGCTTATTAAAATACTAACATTGAGAATCGTATTTATGTGGTTTAACTTTTTTAGGGACAGTACTATGCAAAGCATAGCTGATCTTGAATTTTGCCCAATGACAGTTGACATGGACTCACGACTTAGTTATCTACATCTTCCCCAAATTTGCAGAAGAGGAAGAGAAGGAACTGATACTTTAATCTTCCATTTAGACAATTTACAGTATCAAAAGCGTGAGATTTGTAGGCTCTCAGTCTTTAAAATTTGAACTCTAAACATCTACTGCAGCTCTGAAACTACATTACAGTATTTTCAAATAAGTGTTTGAAAAAAATAATCACCCTAATGCTTCTTAGAAAGCACTAGATATTCAGGAAAACAAATAAGAAAACTTTCCTCCTGCTGCTGAGCACCATGGTGCATAGGTACACTGAAGTAATTCCTTGTATCTGTATGGTCTGTTCTGTGTAAAGCACAGCCTTTCTCCAGCAATCAGAAATGCAGGTTAAGGTAAGTCTCCTAGCATGCTTTGCAAAACTATTTCTCAGGTTAGAAATTTTAGCACTGCTTTGTATTTTCATCGATTTCCTTTATTAAGAAGAAGAAGAAGACATCTATTACCAAAACCCAAATTTGATTTCAGTTCTAAGGACAATTCCTGAAGAAGTTGTATCTTGAGGCCTTGTAGTGAAGAAAAAGCTTTGAGTAACACCATAACCTACAGCTTTTGAATGAATACAACCACAGCACATGCCAGTGGGTTAGCAGGAGGCATGTGGTAAACCACTGTCAGTAGACAGCTTGTACCTATGTCTCCCAGCAAACTGAGAGTAAGTTTTCCATGATATTTCTTCCTTTCCTTTCTCCATACTTTTCCCTAATGCCAGTGAAATCACCTGAGAAAGCTATTGTTTCTCTTTCTTGTCTGGCTCTGCCTAGTAAATGGCAATTCCTTCAGAGTTAAAGTTGTTCAGAATCACAAGTAATTACAGCTTGTAAACAGTAGTACTGAGCTTCATCAGAGAGCATATCCACCCACTGCTCTGTCTGTTAGAAAAGACACTGCCAACATTGCTGTGGTTACCTTTATGAAAGTCAGTTTGCAGTGGCAAGTGTCATCATTAAGATTTTTGATGATGATCTCTCCATAGTGTTCAATCCATCTCTGCCCACTTAAGATGTTATGGATGCAAGATGTCACCTTGTTCCATGCAAAATGGTCTTTAAAACTGTAAGGAGAAATACACACAAGAAAAATCATGTGTCATGTTCAAATGAGCTCATAAACTTGTGAAAATATTTGCAGAAAACTTGATCAAAGAAACTCAAAATACATTTTTTTTTCCTGGAATGCCTCATTTTCTTGTTCCACACCTTCTCAAAACAAACCCTATGACAGCAATCCTTCCCCAACAAAACCTTTTTTGCATCTGCTATAAACTTTGGTCTTGAATTCAGATTTCTCTCAATTTACTTATCCTTCTTTACCAGTTTTAAGTTTCCAAAAGAAATCTTTCTAATGGCTTCTACTGTCTGAAATGCCCATTTCACAGCTTGTAACACAGTGACAACGGAAAACACAAGGACATGGGCCACCAGAGTCATCTGACAACTTAGTGAGTGGGATGAGCTTGGCTCAAGCTCTCAAGGCTGAGCCTATGTTTTTGCTTTAGGCAAGAGCAAAACTTCTCACCAGCTACTTCAAGATGCAGTTGCACACTGGAAGATAGCAGACAGGGAGAGATGAACACATGCCAATAAGGTAACACAACATTCTACCTTTTATTAAAGAAGTAGGTGTTCTTATAAAACAGCTTTATAAAACATCGAGGAAAGTTTCATGAAGACATATTCTACAATTTGTTCTGGGTACGAATGGCCAAGCCACTACTGGTAAGGTAAAGGATAAACTTAGAAAGCACCAGTTTCCCCATAGCAACTGCTTCACACACATTCCATGGAGATATTGGAATCTGTCCTTACCTCCTGTTCATCCCTTGCTTTCACTTACTGCTTTATAAGAGCACACACACAAAGACAGTTTTTACAGACCAGCAGATACGTGACCAATTCACCCCACAGTAACTTGTGGCATGCAGGTCACATGGTCTATCACAAATGCTAAAAAACTGTAATTGCTCCAAAATTAACCTTAATACTAATGCTTAATTTTTCCCTATAGCCTTAGCACCTTTTCTGTACCTAATTCCATATCAAATACACAGGGATAGAAACCAGCACATGGAGATCACATATAAATCAAATTGTTTTCTAGTTCATCAGCCCATTATGAGTTCTAATATTAGTTATCTTGCTTCTGAACCCTCATTCACATCCTAAAAACCTTTCATTCCACAACTTAGGCTAGCTGCTATGAACATAACATGGTTTATACATTATCTTTTGGATATCATCTTATGATATCACAATTTTATCCACTTAAAGAAAAATTCATGCTTAGTCCCTTAGTTTGATGAGTGCTACGTTCTTGAACTATTTTAATTCCTTTTTTTTAAACTGGTAAAATAATTAATTTTGTACTCTTTCTTTGGAAAGCAGATTTAATTGGAACATTACTCAACCTTTAGATCTCTGGTTCTGCAAACATGATAGATATAGGCCAAATTTTAAGGGATTTTAATTGTTGATCAATAATGGGCAGTTTGACAAGCCAGCATAGGAACATTGCAGATTTTTATTAAAAAAACCCAACCAAACAAAACCACAAACAAAACAAAACAAAAAACTATACTCAACGCTTAACTACAGTGGTCGCTTACTTCCTTGGATAATAAATACCAGATATGTAACTGGTTCTATTTATCACCTACAATAATTATTTCTGCAGTGGTGATGGCTGTTGACCTCACCTACAGTCCAGGACCCCATGGTGTCAAGGTCCATACAAATATAGGTACAAAGACAGGAACAACAACAACATCCATTCCCCCAAACGCATATTCAAGCAAAATAATTTGTAGCTTCCTCTACCAAGCAGTTTTCCTCTGTGACTTTAAAATGTATAAAGGTTGAAATTCAACTGAAGTATGAAAATACCAACTTTTCTTTTTTCAAGGCACACAGTAGTGATTTTTTTTTCAATGTTTGTTATAACTTTTGGAAGAGTTAGTGCTTCTGATTTATGCTTCTGGTTTTGGTTTGGTGGGGTTCTTCTTCCCCTTTTCCCCCTTTTCTTTTTAAATTAAATCATAGTCACCAGTTCTTCTAAAAGTCTAACAAAGCACAGCAGAGCTTGTTTTCATCTGGATAAATGTGGCTTCAGCGTGTGCAAGCACATCTGTGCCTATGTGTGAACAGCAATGCACAACTGCAGCACTTACGCTGGAAGAGTTACATGTGTTGTACCAACTGGAACAATTTCCATGGACTTTCCCCAGAATTTGTTTTTCCATCTTACATCTGAGACGGGAAGAAGAAAAAATAAAAGATAGGTTTAGTCATAGGCATGGATGAATCAGTCTGTTCCTGAGTTCTATTTTATTGTCAAGAAATTCAAAATAACAAAGTGCAACGTAAGTGCTCAAAGAATGCTGCGGACCTTCGAACATTGGTTGTTGGGTTTTTTGTTGTTTGCTTGTTTTGTTTGATTTTCATTATATTATTATTAAAATAGCAAAGTAACAGATGTTTAAAGTCCTCTCAAAAACTTTTTCAAAAGAAAGGAATTTGAAAAGCTATAGGCAGCATATACTTGTCTACAATTCAGTTGTTAGTGAATGAATGCAGACATTTTCAAAAACAAAAGCAGAATCACAAAATTACAGAGGGATTTAGTCTAACTTCCTCTGTAAGTTTAACTGTCCTTTTAAAATCTTGACTGAATCACAGAAAGACGTCCAAGTCACATCATTTCTTAAAAAAAACCCCAAAAGATAAGAAAACTCAATGCAAGTTTAACCAAATTTATTGAGCAAAAACACCTGGAGGAGAAAGAAACATAGAGAAGCATGGCAAAAGGGGTTTAGAGTTAAACTGGGCTAGATAATCAGATAGTAACTTCCATAATAACTTCAGAGCTCAGGGGAATAGTACCTTTCCTATATCAGACACCAGGAACTCCATTTCCTACACAATCTGAAAAAGAGGGGAAAATTCAACTCTAGTCTCAAAAAGATGTTAGTTCTAGCATAAGGAAAATGAAACACTGTTTCCCGTGCAATTCTAGGGGGAAGCTGTTATGGTGGCTGTGAGATAGATGCTCAAACCACAATTAGGAGATTACATATCTGCCAAGTATATATGTACAAGTGATGACTGAACCACACCAAGCTGACTACCATTGCAAAGACTGGAATGGGACATAAGGCAGAATGGAAAAAAAATTGAACCTTTTCTTATCAGTTGAGAGAAGGACCTTTTGGGTTTCTTTCTGTTTTGAAGTTTGATGCTTAGTCAGCATCTTCAGTGACAGCGATTCTGTTGTGATTCCTACACCGCCCTATAACAGGCCCAACACTACCTAGAGTATGACATTGTTGAGCTGAATTCTGTACTAGCTTTCTCTCTTCTGCAGTGGGATGGAAGAGAAAGAAGAAACCAGCAAACCCTGCTGAGTTTAACAGTTTAAATGCATTACCAGACTGTTTCACATTCTATGTTCTCACAGATGGCAAAGCTGTCCCACAGTGATCAGTATGTGGGAGACATCTTGGGAACCAGTGTGCAACTTGATCATGCAAGAATTTTACGACAGCAGAGAAAAGCAAAGTGTTATTTCAAAGATATGCTCAGACTAATTCAGGCACAGATGTTGTAATAGCTGGAACTTAATTTCCATTGCTCATGTGTCGACACTGCTTTGCAGAGTCAGCTTCCTAAGTCATGAAAAGCTACTTCCAAAATATCTGTCAGAACTCAGTCTTCTAGTTCACTAGAAATGATCAAGAGATTTATTGATATTGAAACACATGAACTAAGGTCTGTTTCTGGTGGGATGACAGCACTACTCTGGCAATGTTGCTGAGTACTATCTCCTTTTCAGCTGAGAAGGTAATACAGCAAGTGAAAAGATCTTTGCATACAGAAAGAACTAAACTCACTGACAAGCTGCCTTTATGATTAACTTGATGTCAATCTTTCTACACATAAGTTAATATAACCCCATTACAAGAGGTCACAGCATTTAAAAATTGCCTTTGCTATGGAAAAAAGTCACTGTCTAGACCTCCTGTAAGCTCAGCTAGCCGCATTCAAAAACATAACAAACAAGAAAACCTAAACCCTACTGTACCCTGATCGATTCTCAAGTGCTCATCAAGACCAAATCTCAGACTCTTTCTCATTAAACAGATTCTCAGCTCTCATTATTACAGCAGACCTTTTTTCTCTAAACGGAAGTGTTAAAATATTTGAGTGATAACAGTTGTCAAGATTTGTTAAACAAATCAGTCTCATCTATTTTTATTAAGACAGGCTGCTATCTAGTCTTATTTATACAGTATTCAGTTACTGAATATATTTTTGGTCATCTTAGCTTTTTGGCTAACAAAAGGATTCTTGTGTCTCTGTATTTGCTTACAAAGCAAAGAATTACATGGAATAATAAAACTCAGGCTAATGGGTTCCAATTTCTGTTCTTTATGGCTACATCTGTAATAACTATAATCAAGTCAGCAGAGTCAATCATAAAAAAAAAGATTATAATATGGCTACATTGTGAATTGACAAACCTCTAGGTGAAGGATTTTAACTGAGTTAAAAGGCATAGTTATGTTTTGTGTACACTCCAAAATTATCTAACCACACAAGGTACTATTACTGGCTGACATCTTCACCAGCATTACACAGCAAACAAAGCTTCAACACACGTCTTTTGAAACAATGTTAGGAGTTACACAGCACAAAATCTTACATACTGTAATAATGCCAGCATGTAAATGTATTTTCCCTTGCTGTTAAGCCCATTTTTGAGAATTACTTTCAGAACAGGTTTACAAGATTTGCCAAGGTTCAGGATTTAACTTGTAGGTTTTTTCATGCTGTCTTCTAGATTGTTTGTTTTATAAATAGCTTGAGGTACAATTCTTCTTTACTAAAAAAAAACACACACACATCCAAAACCCCCTGATTTTTAAGAACTGCAGACATTTTTACATTAAAAGAATAATCAATGTTATATATAAAAAACCAAATCAAGCCAAAACACTTTGAACTTTTTTATAATAGCAGAAAATCCAAGTAAGAAGCATGCAAGTAAGTATAGGTTAGCATTTCTTAAAAGCATGCTAATACACTTAAAGAAGGAATTTCAACTTTTCCTAATTTCTGCATATTTTGTGTTAGACATACGATGAAAATATTATGAACACTATAAAAGTAAATGAGAGACTGAAGAGTTACCTTGCCAAAAAGCAAAATTCACAGATTCAGCATGGCATGCAGAAATAGGTGGATGGTGACTGACCTAACAAGACATAAAAGGGGGGAAAAAAAAGATGAACATATTAACCCTTGAACTGTCATTTTGGTTTGTGTTTTTTGATGTTTTCCCCTTTCACTCCCATACGGCATTTACAATTTGAACATTTACTTTCCCTTTGCAGTTGTGCCCTGAAGGGGGAGGCAGTGAGATTAATAAGGTACTGAGGCTTAAGAAGCCTTGAAAGAAATGGGAAACACTTATTTTAAAAGGCCTGTGAATTTTGTTTGAATGAAAATCTAGCTATATATTTTATACATTGTTTGTAAGGTGATAATTAAATTTACCCTTAGGACCTCTTAATAGATTAAGCCACACTTTGAGCACACAGACAAATTAAAACAAACAAACAAAAAACCCACACACAACAAAGGGCCTAAAGCTTCTGTACAGTAAATAACCACAAATCCCTGACTATGAGGGAGGAGACAGCAATCAGCATCTCTGAGGGGGCCACAGGTGGAGAAATCAAGCCACAAAATTCCATCCAGCAACCCCTTCCACTGCAGTAGTGACACCCCAGGTGTTTCTACTGCAAAACTCTAACCACGTACACTGCATTTCATCAGCTTTGGGTGATGGCTGTACATGAATTAGGGCAACCACCAAAAGAGCAAAGCAAGGACTGAGAGTAAATAAACAAATACACAATGCAGACTATTCAAATGCAATAGTAAACAAAAAAACTGCACAAAGTGAAAGCAGCCACTACTCCTTGCCTTAGAATTCTCCCCTCTGGCTGAACACTAACAACAGATCAGGACCAGCGCTTTGATGCCTACAGTCCTTTGGGCAACTCTATTTTCAAGTCAAATTGCTATTTCCCACTATGAATTTAATTTCTTAACCACCTACATGGCTCAAATGCAGTTTTACTTTCTTCTTTGTTACTCACTTTGCAAATCCGTTATTGAGCATTTTTTCCACAGGCTTCCAGTTATTTATTGAAATCCTCTACTTGGTTTAAAAAGAAAGATAAAAGTACTAATTACTCTCAGCTATGGCCTAATCCACCAAGAGCATCACTCATTCTTACATACTGTACCTAGATTAACCCCAGATGTCACTATAATACATGGGTTAAACTTGGCTCTCACTTAAACTGTTATAATTCCAGAGTAAGGTCATGGTGCTAAGAGGAGTTATTCTAAACTCACTCTAGTAATAGATCAGAATCTTTGTTATTTTATACATTTTGTCTATTCTATGGATTACATATTATCCACACTAAAAAATTATGTATTGCATAAGCAATAAGCAACTGCTCCAGATGCAAAGAGAAATATTTAATACTTGCAGGCTGCATAAAATTTATTTCCTCCCTTCCTAATATTTATCTACCACATACTCTTACAGTAACTTTACCACTCTATAAACTCACGTCACTTATTTCACGTATTAGAACAATACAGTCCAAGCCTCTTCATGTATTAAAAATCCTGCTTATAAAAAGTAGCCTTCATACTGATTTATCCAAAATTCAGGTGAAAATTTCTCCTTTTAATTCAGTGTAACGTTAAGCTCAGTATCAACCATTTTCACCTTTGTTACTCCAATTTGATGTTACACTGGTAACTGCAGTGCTCTATACATGTAATCTTACTACTGAAGTAGCACAGTGAAGAACCAGATATACTGCTTGAACTTTAAATTTGATTCGTGCTTTGAATGTTTTTCTTTCTGTTGTTTTTTTTTTTTCCCTCTCCTTATTTTTGCTCTTGCTTGTGGCATTTCCTGAGACCAAGGAAACACCACAGAGCACTCCTTTTTGTCAGCTCTACAACATATTGTGCAAAATGCTGTACCTTCAGAGCTGGTCAAAAATACTTTCCATTTCATAAAGGCTCTTAGAAGTCTTTCTCTGATCAAATTTCTGGGTTGTACACCTCTGCACAATGCACTTTTTTTGTTATGTCTAGACAGAATTAGACACCTTTCAGTCATTCTTACTTTCCTAGGCACCAGATATTTAAGTTTTATACCTCTTTAACATATGCTTCAAGCTTAGCAATTTTGGTAACTTGGCTTGTTTAAATTTAATATTTTTCATCCATACTTAACAATTATTCTCCTACTGAGGAATTATCTTCATAAACACTCAGACCATGATGGGCTGTATACATCTTTCACCTACTCAGCTGTGGTACCAGATGTGAAAGGCTTAGCCTACAAAAGTATTTGTAGAGGAAGAAGAAATATTTATGGTGCCGTAGAAAATACTTGTGGTTGATTGACTCACACAAGGGATATATTTGTTATAAAAGATGATATTAAATAGCTGAAGATACAGTATTTGTAATGATCACACACAAAAGAAAATGGCAAGAATGTAAATGCTTGTTGCAGTACTGATCGGATTTCAGCATGAGGAATTGCACTCTACTTAACCAAGTTATCTAGTTACTGGAGCAGGCAGCCTGCCAGCCTTTGCTTCTTGAGTGTCAGCTGTTGGCTGTCACGTCCCATGCCAGACTTAGCAGACTTTCCTCAAAAAAACAATTTCCTTCATTTATAATTCAGCAACATCCCTTGATTTTTGCTGGGCTCAGGTTATGTAAAGTAATTTTGTATTTTGCTATTAATTCCAGGGGATTCCAGAAACACATTTAGAATGATGCAACGTATCAAGTAGCAATTCTAGGGGTTGCAGCATACAATACCTGTTCTGCAAAGAACTGGAAACCCTTATCTTCACGGATACATTCATAGGTTTCTCCAAGTACAGGATTAAATGGCTTACTTCCAGCTCGGTAGTAACTGGATGCATACGCAGAGACTGCAAATGCAGCTATATACACCTGGGAAGAACATGTTTTGCATTTTGATTAACTAATTTATGACAGAAATGAAAAAAAAAAGAAGTTATCCTAACATCAGATTCTGTATTTTTCCCATCATTTGCAAAACTATACACGTGCATGTCTCCTGCAAGTTAAGCCCTAGTTCACACATCAGAGAATTATTCAGTTTTCAGAGAGTCAGTCAACAGTCCAGGAATGGAATTATTAGTGTCAGACACTGTAAATCTCATCAATCGAAAAAAGCATTTCTGAAAAGTGTTTGAAACAGTTAAGCATTCTGCAACAGAGTTCAAAGCAGTAACCTTAAAAATCACTGTTAGATTTTGTATAATAACTGACTTTTATAGTTATAGTCTGTGATTCCATAGATCTACCAGCTATCCTTTATCTAAACATGGCACAGGAAGCATTGGATGAATTTTCACCAAGCTTGCTATTTCTAAGGCAGTTTGAATTAAATTATCTTTTATCTACTGTGTGCTATGACTTAATCATGAAACTGTTCTTGATTAGGACTGACACACAGGTAACCCAAGTCAGCTCAAGTACAATTCCTTCTAAACATGAGGGTTTAGAATTTGGGGTTGTTTCATTCAAGTCTTTTTTGTACTATTTTTCTGCTTTCATTTCCTTTTCCTCATCTTATGAAGGTGTAGATGTTCTCCTTTCACAGTTTCAGAAACCAAATCCACTTAAGAAAGTCTCTTTTATGAACTATTGCAATTACCATACAACATCCAGAGATAATTTTGCCTCAGGAATTTCTCAAAGGCAAAGATTACTCCTTTCTGATGTAATTTCCAGACGCTTGGGAAAAAGCTTCTTTTCGCTCCCCTATGAAAAACTACTGCTCATTTCCTTTTCCTGTTAGCATATGTTCTCAAGAGAACAAAAACTATGGACTGGAAAACCCCGGTGAACAGCCACACCCTGGGAACAAACCCTAAATTGTAACCCTTGAGACTGTCAGAATGAGGCAAGAGGCTTTTCAGAAAGTATTTGTAACGTGACTATTTACATTCATTTATAACCTTATTTTAAGATAGGATATATTGAGTTGAAAAAGCTTAATTCAGTTTATGGGAAAATCTTTATCTTCCTTTTCAGAGAATTTAGGGAGTTTCTAATCCTTTATTTATGGGCTTACATATTAAGTAGATCTTGTACACCTGGAAGCAGAACAACTGAAATGCATTTTTCTTTTGTTCTTTTCAAGTGCAGAATTCAAAGAGTTCTGCACTGGCAGAAGATGACACCATTATTGTACCCAACAATCGTATTGCCTGGTTTTGAGATCCTGAACATTTTGGATCAACCTCAAAACTTCAGAAAACCAGTTCATAAAAAATATTGAGCTCATTTATTTAATACAGAGATATCACAGTTTTGTAGGGCTGGAAGATCCAGCATCCTCTATGTACAAATGTGTTACCAGATCAGACACTCTTGAAAAAAGAGAAATTGTAGTTTTTATACTCAATCCTCTCCTCCCTTTTTGCTGTAAATTTTTAATCTTACAGAGCAAGAGTTGCAAAACAGAAGTAAGCTCCTTTTCTGTTTAAACTTGCAGAACAGCAAGGTACTTGAGAAAAGAGAGGCTTCCTGAAAAGGCAGCAGAAATGATGTAGAGGAGTCAAAAGCAGTGGCTATGTAAATATGTACAGGCACATATTTGGAGAGTTTGCCTCTCTCAGCTGAGAGAAACAGAAAAACGCAACCGAACATCTTCATTTCTTTAGCACTGCTTTTATATTTACTCTATTGCAATTATATTGAATGTTACCAAGTATTTGGAATAACATATTTACCATCCGTTCAAAGGGGTTCAGTGTGTGCGCTGCTTTATCCAGTAGTTCACTGTACTCCAGCTCCTCGCAGAGACGCTGGAGGGTGTTAAGTGGTTCATTTAATTCAACAGGCATGGCCACTTTGGAGAGATCCTTTCCAATGTTGTTTCTCAGGATATTCCATAGGCTGATGTTACTCGTATTAGGACATGGAGCTGGTAAACATGTTCTCCGTTTAGAATTGCATCCAATTCCACTTTCAGAAATACAGTCTGAAAAGGAAGTGGCAGAACAAGTCAATTCACACTTAGTTTCATCCCCCTTGCACACATACATTGAAATGCAACCATCTTTTCTTCTGTCAGAACTTCCTTCCACCCACAATTCATTCAAGTATTTCACTCATGGTTTGAAGATAGCCTGTTATAAAAATGACAAAATAAAGAACAGGATTTTATGTATTTTAACTGAGGTAAATGCCAGGTACAAAAGATGAGTAAAAAAATTACCTTCCTTTCCCTTAAAGGATGTAAGAAAAGACTCAGACTTTCCATTGAATTTGAAAGAGTAAATATTGTAACCATTTTATTTGTAACAGAGATGGATTCCTATCTGTTTGAGGGACATAAAACCTCCTTCCTTGATAGAGCTTCAATTAAATTGACACTTCTCAGAAGGCGAGATGTAACTTACAGATTTAGGGATAATAACAACTCCTACTGATCTTTTCCTACTTTTTTGAATACTCCTACCAGGGAAATTTACTGCACACAAATTTACATGCAGACTTTTCCACAGTGTTCCTATAGCATTTAAACTTTTTTAGTGACGTTAGCTTTGAGATACGCCCATACAGTGATGGAGAAATGATGTGTTTTAAAGGTGGAAAAGCTGAGGAAACTGTGGAGCTGTGGGTTTGCTAAAGATAAAAAAAATAAAAATACTTGAGTCAAGAGTCCTTGAAATGAAAATCTGAAGTCTGTGTTGCTACATCAAGGCCATTGGAACACGATAAACAGTTCTAAGTGTGCCATGAAATGATTTGTAGCAGGATCCAAATAGAGCTACAAGCTTCTGCAACAGGCACTAGTCTGAAGTGATTACATTGCTTAGCTGTACATCACTTTCATTTCAGAGAGGAATGTGTTTGCCACTACAGGAACATATTTTATCTTTACACATCCTTAGGAGCACCTAGTAAGCTGCTGCCTTAGAATCACTTTCTGTTTGGAGACCTTCGGGCATAGCCTCCGTCTGTCGACCCCCATCCTTTCCTGGCTTTCCTCACACAGCTTTGTCTCAAAGGAATTAAAACCACACTGGGCAGCACATCTCTTCTGTGCTGCACATGCCCAAAGCATCCCTGCCGTTAAAAAGCACAATTTCAAAAAGCATTTCTTCTGGCTGTTCCACTGACATAAGCATGGTGTCAGCAGTGCTTCCAGCAGTGACAGATAACCCCAAGGACAAGCTTCTCCGTGCCTGCTAGCCCACACCTCACATGGAGATTTTAAAGTGTAATCAGCAGCCTCAAAATTTTGAGAAAGAAGTTTCTGTCTTTCCTGCCACTTGCAAACTAGCAGTCCTAATAGCTTATGTGGCTGAGTTACTGTAAAAAGGACAGGTGAACTATTTGCAGTCCCTTGCCTGTATCTTTCTTTTTGCATAAAAATGGCATGGGCACTATGAATCAAAAAATCTATCTGAAACAATTATACTGTTGAGAATTAAAAGATTGGCTCCTATACTTCCCTATTGGAAGAATTTATTTAATATCAGAAGAGGCCAAAAACAAGGATGTTCCCTTAGATACCTCAGGAATGAGGAGATACCTGGAGAAGGAGGTAAATGCTAAAGATTTATCCTTGATTACAAAGGGATCCCAGAAATGAGATTCTGGTTACTAACTGACTTATTTACATATTCTGCAGTAGCCCATTAATTGGGGTAAAATGGTGAAAAAACAGAGTAGAGTAAGAACTAAGATATTCAGATACCAAATTTTCTATACACTGAAATTTGCCCACCCCCCATTACAGAAAAGCCTCTGCAGTTCTGGTTTGCAAGAGTTGTGACAAATAGACAGCATCAATACTTAAGGAGATTCATATATCTGACTTCCAGCTAGACTCGGTGACCTTTAAGGTCAAACTGGACCATTATCAACATCTGGTCTGACCTTCTACCTTACAGTGGTCAGAGGATTTTACCATAATCACACAATTTATGGTGCAGCTAAAGCCCTGTAGAAAAAAGACACTCAGCTTTCTATTAATGGCAGTGGCAGGCTGCCCAAAGCACAGAAATAGCAGGTACCAGAAGCACGCGGAGGTACTGCTGATACGGAGGAGCTTCAGTGACAGCCTTTGTTACAAGAAGATGAACAGTCACACCAGTACAGTTTTCTAAGGTCCTGATCATGATATGAAATAAATCTGTATTCTTTCCTATCTTACAAAAAAAACCCAAAAAAACAAACCAACAAACTCTTCATTTTTGAACAGTTACAAAATAGAACAATTCTCCAGGCATATCAAACTACCCAGGTTCACAGGGATCTACGGGTCCTTGGAGATGATCAGGAAACAGTTGCTAGTGAGAAATCAGTGTTCAGCAGTTTTGAAGATAAAAATACATTGTTAGAGTGGGAAGAACATTGTGGTTAGCTGAAAGGAGTTCAAGGCACAAAGCTGATCAGTTTGTTATGATCAATTCTTCTCCCTCTTTTTTTGAATCTCTTTCTAATTTGAAAGACAATTAAATTAGCATATGTACTAACAAGACTATCATGATTAAAACATGCACTAGGTCTACCAGTGTGCAATTATTCTCACATTCCTTTAAACATGAGTTCTGCTAAAACAACACAATTCTGAATGGGGTTGTTAAATTGCAGACTGAAAAAACAGTGTGACAAGAAGAAAATTACTTTTTGGAAAAAAAAATCAGTTAGGCCTTGCTACTTTGAAAAATCCTGTGGCCATGTGAAACTGAGAGGGAGTGGGAGCCGCACCAAAGAAGTCAAGAAAATAAGTGTTTTCCTGCTGATACAGAACCACTATCCTGCTTAATCAATGGTAGCCAGGCCCTGTTAAACAGTTTAGCCAGAATCTGCTGTTCAAAAAAAATCTGAGGCTAAAGAGAAAAAACACAGGCTGTTTACATCTCAAAACCCATAATACCTAATTATCTAGTAAGAGAAGAAAAAAAGTATCCCAACCAAACAGAAACAAAGAAAATTCTCAAAACGTGGTGTAAGAAAAAAACTGAACTTACCTAAAGTTTGTCTTTCATTCTCCATGTCATTGCTTAGGTTATCTTCTGAGACATTATCACTGATATCACTTACATACGAGTCATCATCCGATACCTGAGTGTGGGGGAAAAAAGCAAGATTATATTCATTCATTAAAATAACCCCATATGCATGAGAAAATTGTTACTGTCCACTGCAATTATCGTTTTAATATATTTGAACCATTTTCAGTACTACAGAAAAATGCTAGAAACCCCTAAGAAGACACCACTGAGTTTAGGAGATATCATCATCATTGAAAATTCAACTGAATAGGACAGCTATGAATAACTATTTCTGTGATGTGACTCCCTAAGCACCTGTATAATGACTGAAGGCAGACAATACAGTATATGCAGTATCTGCATAGTAGCTACCTAATTGCCATCTGCCTCAATGTGTATATAAGAGTTCTCCATAATAATTGCTACACCTTACTGTGAAGAGACAATGACAGAAAATATACACAAATGGTGTATTACTTTCCAAATGTTTTGAAAATTCAAATTTTCTGGAATTCTAATGTACAGTTGGCACTCAGAAAGACTACATGTCAATTAGCAGATAAGAAACTACATCAGAATGATATCAATCTTATTGCTCAGACCTCATTTTCTGAAGAACTAGCAGACAGTAGGACTTCCTGTGCATCAAAAAATTCTGTGAGAGAGTCAGCTATAGACAGTCTGCTTTCATTGGAGACCTGGTGAACAAGACCTCTGCCTTCTTCTCTTGAATTTTCCTGTTTAAAAGAAATAAAAAATTTTGAGAGGGGAAGTACCACAAACAACATTTATGCATGCAATTCCACAATCACATAACTTGAAGGGCTGTAAAACACTGGGAGAAGATTGCACGTGCTCCTCTCCAATTTAAGTGAAAGGTAACATGTGTTTCAAAGAGGGATTTAAGACCAAAGTAAAACAAATCAAAGAGAAGAAGGAAAAAAGAAGGCAAAAAAAGCAATGCCTATTCAGTAAATCAGTTATGTGCTGCATGTCAAAATGTTTTGCTATTTTAATGATTTAGCCAGATATATACAAGTGTATCATCAAAAAGCCCACAAAAGGACAAAACTCCCACATCTTTATATTACATCCTAGATTCACGCTCCTTTCTGATCTTGGCAAATGAATCAGTCTTTTCCTCCCTAAGCCTTGCTTATTGCAAAGCCTGCAGTACCATGGTGTACAAAATTCAGAGGGGTAAAGTTGCTTTCTTTATAATAGAGTGTTTTCCTAGCTCTTTTTCTTCACTAATTTTCTATGTTGTTCTTTGGAAAGTTTTCCTTTATATCCACGCCAGAGATATCTCCCATGTTATCCAAAACCAACACACTATCAAAACCATAGAAGCGGAATTGCTTTTGCTGCTGGAGGCACAATCTCTGCCACAGAGATCTTGATAACTCCTCCCATAGAAGCTCTACAGATTGGGGTAAGCCAAGTTCCAAAGTGTGGCCTAGCAAAGGTGAGGTGACCAGTGAGACTTGGCTCATTCTGTGGATACAGTAAAAAAGTTGGAGAACACTGAGCACTATTGTTTTTCCTGATAACTCCACCAATACAAAGGAAGCTGGCTCAAAGGACTGTATTAGCTGCTTTTCGGCATGAGGCGCTTTACTAACATGTAACCATGACTGCTCTATCATAATTTTGCAGGAATTGTAGTATTTTATTTTCAGAAAAACATAATGAACAGTCTGATAAATCTATAATCAAACTGACAAATCTTCTTTCAAAGCTTTTCTGTTGGTAGGTTTTACTATTGTATGGAACGTTATTCAGCACATGCTGATTGTGGTGACATGGAAAAAACCCAAACTGCTATACAAAAGACTTAAAAAAACCCCTTCTGATACAGCAGGGAAAAAAAGAGGAAACCTCAGTATTGTCTCTTCTGTGGGAAGGTAGTTACACTAGCCTACCAGTAAAAAAAAAAATAAAAAAAAATATCTTACACATATAAGCATTGCTACTGGGATTGTTTCCAATACTATTTTGAATCTGAGAAGGAAAGTGAGCAGGAAAGACTCATAAAAGAACAGCAGGTTTTTATATCTAACACATAAGTTTCAGGTTGTCTTCTTCCATGTTCCCACTCTGGCATGATGAATTACAATTAAACTACCCAACAGACAAACTAAACTTTTCCTTTATGCAAAGGCTTGAGATACTATCTTACACTGCTTCAATTTTCACAGGTCAATCATAGCACCTGATGCATCATTTAGTAACAAGTTTTGTGCAGTGACCCTGTCTTCCTCAGAGCAGCACTACTGTATCACAGTCCTCAAACAATTTTAAAATTAAACTTCTCCAGTATAAGTGATTTTATCTTTAAGTTCCATCCCAAACCTTGCCAGAGGGAATTTGTGAATGAAACCTCTAAGGACTTTCTGAAATCTGTTTCTGTCATGTATGTCTCTATGTGTGTATAGTGCACAGAACAGGTTTCAGAAATAATCCATTGTCACTGCAAGGACGTCCACTAAATAAGAAAATAAAGAACTCCTGAAATTAAATAACAGTGCATTAATGCTTTTCTGGATAGCAGTTTAAGTGTTGTTCAAATTCTCATGGGATTAAAAGCAAAAGGCATTAGAATGATCAACTACCTTAAGGAAGAAAACCCAAAAAACTGAACAGCTAAATATGACCAACACACAGCTCCACTGAAACAGAACTAAGCCAGAAGTGAACAGATGGAATGACTAAACTGTCTTTAAAAAGAAAAGGAAATAATTAGTTATATAAAACCCCCAGCATTACATCCACTCAAGTTCTAATGGAAGATTTATACTACAAGCGCAGCAGAGGTTTCTGTATGAGTTAACATATAGGAAAATCCATCAGAAATAACACTGTTCTGGCTTCCCTCACTAACACCATTAACACTTAGATCTTATGACTTTTAATTACACCATATCCACATGCATTCTGCAGTGAGACAGAAGACTGTCTGGACATCAGTGCATCTCAAAGTGGCTAACTGGATATATAGAAGACTTCCTGCCTTCACAAAAAGAAAACTAAATGGTGGAAAGAGCTCTTGTATGTCCAATTAACTTTGATCCTTTCATGGAAATGTCTAAAAAGTGTTCTAAACCTTACACGATCCACACCAGTAGCCAACATTCTGGGTTAACAATACTTCAACAGTCAACAAAAGGTCTACAGAACTTGAAAGTTAACAAGGGACTAAGGGCGATAGAAACAGCAGCATGAGGGTAACAAAGTGGCAGCTCTGTTCATGCTGAATGAGAAGCAGGCAGGAGGTGAGGGAGAACACCAGGAACCAGTAGCAAAAGGCAACGGAAGGTGTGCTCAGGAAACCTGCTCACAAGGAAAGTCTTTGAAATCAAATATCACACAACGCATCATCAGACATGACTCACAACCACAAAAGCAGACTCGATTTGCTAACACAATACACCACAGGGGAGACATCAAGAAAGGACGAGATGCAGCTATGCAGCACTATCTAGATGTAGGGGCTTGAGGAACAGACATCACTGAAAGAGGAAATCCATACCCACCTTCACCAAATCTGGACTTGATTTTGCATTAGATGCTGAATCAAGGATCATAGATTCGGCATGTATTCTGCGTAACCGGTCTTTAAGATCTGTATTTTGTGCTATTGCCTGGAATATTTAACAAAGATATTGGGGATATAAAGTTCTCTCGACTAACTCAAATGTGGGTTTATTGTGTAAACAGGGGTAACGAGTATTTAAAGTGCAGTATAAAACACCACCACATCATTTTTTACTGATTCAGCAAATCATTTACCTTAAATTCTTCAAACCTTACTCGTTACCTCTCAAAACTATTTTTGTTCACTGTGAGGGAAAAGACACATAAGTGGAAAATAAAAAGTCAGAGATGGTAGGGATATTTCAAGGTTTGCAAGCTGATTTCATAAGTTATAAATTAATTTTGTGCATCTTTTTTCTTTTCAAGCTCCCTTCCTTCACCTCCATTTCCAGCCGAGCCTCTCTCAACATTAGTTTTTACCACATCCAAAACCATTTGATTTTCCCATACTGACAGTTCCCTTTGCCTTCCACTGACAGAGAAATAAGACTTAAATTCTCACAGGTACAGGTATAATTCATGTCCTATCAGATTATAATAACAATGATCAGAATAAAAAGCCTCTACTGCAAACTCATGCTTGTTACATGTTATTTATTCATACTGGGTGCATCTGATGGACAAATGTCAACTAAAGTAGACTTGTAGGAAGAGAGTGCAACCCTGCCTGCAATGAAAATATCTCTGAAATAAAAGACTGGGTTACTAATTTTGGAACAACACTGAAGACTCAGTGATCTGAATCAATACCAGGACATGGAGAACCCTGCTGTTTACACATCCGTGTTATCCCACAGATGCTTCTGATTTTGGAAGTGCTTTTTGTTGAAAATCACCTTGGGGGCAGGAAAGACAAGTAAGCTCAAAGTGATGATGGAGGGGAGAAAATAATTTCTGGTTTTAACTATATGTGGGCTGAATTTGCCATACAGGTGTTTAGCACTTCTGCATCAAGAGTTCAGCACTGTGTTATACGCACAGCATCAGGTAAGTGCAAAACAGAATTTACACAGCTGCCCCATAATAGCATCTTCCCATTTTCATTGTTTGCTACAGAATGTTTTCTTCCTTCTGCTGTCTTCTTCCTCTCCCAAAACAAAAAATACTGTATTTATTCTCATTCTGTATTTGCTTTTCTCAGATTGTGTGTAGGTCAAGGATACTATCTTAATTAGGGAGAAGCACAGCCAGAGATGCTAATTTTGTGGTGTTTTATCCACTTTAAATCTGTTCACTTTTCTTCCCCTGCCAGGCTGATGAGAGCAAAACAGAGCTATGTTTGATAGCTTTAAACCTGTGAGTCTGATTTTTTGTTTCTCCTGTACAGAAAACAAATAAAATGAACAACAACAAACATGAAGTCAAAGTCATCAACGCAGGACTCTCTCGCAAGGAAGTCTTCAAAATATGTCAAGTTTATCATATCCATCTTTCCTATGTTTCCAAATGAAGCTTATTCCTTTCTCCTATAGGATCTCTGCTGTACAGGGTGAGAACATTTCTTTTGGCATCATGGCTTTGCAGATCTGCAGGCCCTCAGAGGTGTTAACCTCTGCTGAAACTGCCAAGGTTCACAGATGACTTCTGGATTGGCTACAAAAGGTTTTTTAAGTATCAGATAAGACTTAAAAGAATTACTTTTAAAAGACACATACAGGATGAAGATGGACAACAGAATTTCACTGCCTAAAACCCCAAAATAATTCATGCTAAACTGAGTGTTCACTGAGTTCAGCAATCTTAAAACTGATTTTTTGATATAAAATGGTAGGCAAATAACCCTGGAAAATAGAAGTCACCTATTCAAATATCAAAAGAGGAACATCTGAAAGCCAAAACCAAAGAAGTGCAAGTGAACGAGTATAGTTATTATGCACCAGGCTTCAGCTTTCTCTAAATGCTATGAAGACATCATGGCCTTTAAAGGTCTAGGCAAAGAGGTATGTTAAAAAACTATAACCACATGTAGCTTTTGTAAAGCAAAGGGAAGTTTTCATACTGAAATAACTCTAAGATGATCTTACATCTACATCTCTGATCAGTGTCAGAGTCTCCCCTGCGTCTGATGCGGTGTTTGCAATAAACACTGAAATTTTAAGGCCATAGTAATGATGGCCTTCTTTGCTCTGAAATCAGATCACTGTTCAGCAGACACACTGAAACATGACCAATCTGAAAGTTCTGGTCTCAATTACATAAAGCACACCAACCAAACACTCCCCCTCTCCCTTTTTTTAAAGAGCACAATCTTTTGTCATTTAGAACTCTGCCCTACCAGCTCCATCGCTGCTATTAGAGGACTAAGAGATAATTAGGGTTGGAAGTCAATGTGAACAAGTTGTACTAGAATTTGCTTTGCAGTGTCTTGGTGCAGCATGGTGAAGCTCTCGTGCATTAGAAGGGACAGCGGAGTGCTTTCAGCCACTCTCACCTTTACTTTATGCCAGGTCATACAGTGAACACTCAAGTGCTGTTTAGGTAAAGAAAAGGAAAAGGAAACCTGCAAGCTACCAGAACTGGGTGATTAAACAGTGAATGTTTAGAAAGAAAGTAGACTCATAGTCACAGAGCAACCCTCTGATTCTTAACACCAAATGATACAGATTATACTATATACCTTTATCAATCCACCTCTCAAACTTCAATGGTTTGACAATACCTTTAACATTTAGGAAAGAGTCTTTGAAAAACACCATATGTAGAACTTGCTGTGATTAAATTCTGCACATTCTAGCACAGAATAGACACCAAAGAATCAGAAATTATCTACTATAAAATTTAAAAGTAGTATCTGATGACAATGAAGCTCAGTGAATTTCAGCATGTCACTTACAGATGATAAGGCATTCTTCAAGCCCACTATTTGTGCAGATGGAGATGAAGATGCATCGTGCTCCAGCATCTGCTTCAGCTTTTCTCTCTCAGTAGATATGGTGCTGAAAGCTGACCTCAAGGTGAAGTAAACTAGAACCATTTTGTAAAAAGTGACAGTTAAAAACAGCTGCTACCAATTGTATGCGTACTAATTACGTAAAACTTAAATAAAACATTGTTTATGGTGACAGAAACAAGAATTTAGGTTGAGAGATCCAGGGTGGGTTACTAAAAACAAGTAATATTAATCAAGGTTATAGGGTAGATTTTTAGTAGGAGAAATGTTTATGGTGAATGCTACTGTGTTGACTATATTAGCCACAGTCAAAATTACTCTGATTATTTGTGACAGATGGCAACAAAGCTAACTAACCACATCTGCTCTTCACTTGCTTTTGTTCCCCAATTAGCTTGAATCTTCAGATGGTCATGATTCTATTCCACATTCCTTTATAAATTCCAGTGGGGGAGAAGAAGAGACGAAAGAAAAAAAATTAAGTAGGAAAAAAAGTAATCAAAAAAAGCAGCTGTAACACGTATTGTGCCACAGCTATAGGGTTAGTAGTTTCCCTGCAAGTCAACTGTGGTGTTGAGTTTTGTTATCTCTTTCTGTAACAAAGAAATTTCAGCTTGTTAGATGATTTAGTGACTCAAAAGGTCAGAGCCTGAATGATATGCATGTTATGCTGCTACTTCTACTCCTTCCTGAGGCACTACCACCAGCCTGATATGTTTAAATCAGACAACAGATCATGCAATTTTAAAATCATTGGATTTTTAGAGGGAAAATACACTTTTTAAAGTTTTTTTTTTACCCTTAAGACATTTAATCTTCTCTTTAACCACAAGAAATAAAAACATTATTTGAGCAATATTTATTTATGTAGGTTTTCAACATTCAATTAGCTGGAGTATCAGAGGATTTCTGAGGGTCTAATCAAGCCCTGTAATACTATCATGAAAACTGCCCATACAAAAATTAGCCCATTTACAGGAAAATTAGGGTAAAAAATCTGGGCATGGATGTGTGAAAAGAGCAATGATCAAGAAATCCCTGATACTCCTCTCTTCTAATCATCCACTCTGAGTTAACCTGAATCATCACTACTTCGTTAATAAGTTATGTAACCCAATTTAGTCTTTTAAAAAATTAAAGTATGTTCCAACACTGCAAACCATTACCAAAGCTAATTCTCATACTATCCAAAGAAATCTTTAACAGTATCACAGGCGGTGGGGAGGGAGATATGATCTATTCTGTTAGGCTTTCATACATAGATAACATGACCAGAATCTTCAGTGACCTTAAATACCATTTAATATGTTGTATACTAACTTTAATTTTCAATTATCATTACATACTAAACAATGTTACATTTTATTTAATTTGTATCAAAAAGCTGAAGCAAATGGTTTCTTCGCTATTATTTTTGGAATGGGTGTGCTATAAAGTAACTTTGGAAAAAAATTCTTTGTCCTCTTAGTAAATTGATACTGCAGTAAATAGTACCAAGTTAATTGTCCCTTCTAATGTGTGGATCAATATAACCAAAATTTCCAACATGGACATTTCTGGTAAGATGATCTTGAATAGGTGATTTCTTTGCTCTGCTTAACAACAACTTCTCCAACTGCACCCCACCCCCATTTCTTTTCTTTTTTTGGAAAACATACATCAGTTTTGACAATAATTGACTTTATCAAGTTTACTACTTAGATACATTCCCTGCATAACAGAATCAAGATATATCAGCACCAGAGGGGAAAACAAGCAGAGAGTGCTTATTGATAACATCAACCATTATCATGTGCCAAAGGGGACAAAGCCAATACTTCCAAAAGCCTTTCAGCTATAAATGCTTAAGTGCCTTCCTCATCAAGATCACTTAAATAATAAAAATGCTTCTGGTGCGAGGGTGATGGAGCAAAGCACTGCTAATGAAAAATGATTTTGAGGGAAGAAATATTTCTAGTCAAGCTCCCCTTCTGGCTGCTTTGCATGATTTTACTCTTCTTATTCACTAAAAATAGGTTACTACCATAGCAACCCTTGCATCATCAACAAATGTTGACTCTGAAATACAGTGAAGCACACCGAATATAGAAACATACATGTGCTCATATGGACACATATGCGTGCAAACACAAAAGAGTATAATCTTCTGTTGTGTTTCTAACACAAAAAGAGTATAATCTTCTGTTGTGTTTCTAGCAATTTATTTTAGGTATTTTACCTCTTGGCCAAAAAAAAAACAAAACCACAAACAAACAGCTAGGTTTTTAGCACATAAAACAAAGGGCTGTCCTCTATTAATTAAAAAAATAAATCAAAAATGATGATTAAGCCACCTTTTTTAAGTGACCCACAAGTTCAACATTTGCAATTCCTAAAGGAAATTAAAGGGTGTTTTCTGCATTTTCTAAACATTAAACAGGAATCATTCTCAGAAGTCACACCGTTATTTAAATTGAGATGATATAAAACCATATATGGAAGACAATTTCATTTACCTTTATGTGCAACTTGAAATAAGTCCTCTTGCATTTTTGTAAATTCTGATGATGTTTCAGAGCCATCAGAGTAATTTTTCTCCTCTACAAAATCTATTGTAGATAAGTTTGGATTGGAAGCATGCAGTCTCATAGGGGCAGAAAATACTGAAGGCACCTGTAAGGAGGATCGTAATTTGTGATATTTTTATAAACTGTAAAGAAAATTTTGTTTTATTGTACCCACCTGGGTTACATGTTGGAGACAAAAAAATGAAATAATTACTGTCAATTACCAGTAAGCTTGGAATGGATGACACCTGGCAAATGAAACCAGAGCTACAGCTTTGCCCAATATACCCTAATGGGATAATTGGCAAAACTCAAAAAACCAAGTCCACCGAGAGTTGTAACATATGCTGTATTATTCCCCCCACCTGTAAGTATCTAATCACATGGCCTCTGGATGCAAATGTGTACAAAACTATCTAGAGAATTTTAAAAATCTGTTCTGATTAAAAAAACCCACCAGCAGAGCCCCCCATATTGGAGACAGACTGAAAACATGGGTAAAAAAAAACATGGCCAGTCTCCTGAAGGTAACAGGACAGATCCTATTGCAGATATCAAGGACAACATATTTGTGTTTTGTCAGGTATATTACCACTTAAAATGAGCTAGCACAGGACACTACTTGGAAAGGATTCATATTTCCTAAGCAGGTCATGCCAAGAAGTGATCAATAAGGTTTGGAGGAAGATGAGCCCCTGGAAGGACTGAAGTTACCTGTAACGTTCCTTTAGCTTCTTTCCCAACAACTCTGGATCGCCACCTCCTGTGTGTTCTCTTTTCCTTCTTTGGGCTTTCAAAAGGTCCAACCTTTTAACAACACACAGGACAAAAAACAATACAGATTGCCATATATCTAACAGAGCTAAGGAAGAAATAACTCGATTCTTTAGGATAAGGGTTGGATTTTTGAATTGTAAGGGAATATGCTTTTTGCTTTTGTTTCTAAACAACAAACCTGCATAGCATTTATAGCAGGCGCTGAATACGTCCTGTGAAGAACGTCCATGCTCTGTAACAGCTGGTTCATTTCCAGTAAATATGTGTGACAGTTGGAGAGGTCTGTTTAGAACAAAAGAATATTTTCAGTTGCCCTAAAGTAACAGACACACTGACAATTTTTTTCTTTGTCGGTTAGTCCTATTTTGATTGTACCTAGCATAAGTTATTCACTGAGTAAAGCACAGGATTAGACTGATGGATAAAAAGATCGTGTACTATCTTCAGGTTTAAATTCAAAATAGTGAAATGCATCTATATAGTATGTGTAATGATCATGATATTTTTTCCCAGTTGGTTACAGAAAAATGAGAATAATGTGATAATTACTGCAATTTGGGACTTGTCAAAGCTCCTCATGGTGAGGGTAACAATGACACAGTCTTCAAGTACATTCAGAGCTAGAGGTGAGGCTCTTCTATATTTGAGATGAAGTTCAGTGTAGGCAGAAATATAACAAATAAATATCACACAGACACTAACAGCATGAGAAAGATCTTCTTGCTCTTAGGAAAGAATGAAAGCAGAAGGTGACTTTGAAGTACAAAGAATTAATGCTTTTTAAATTATTAGATTTTGATGCTTCCCTTTTTTGAATACCCAGCCTAAGGAAGTTCAAATCTTACGACTGAATGTGATTCTCCTGTATAAAAGAAAATGTATTGAAATATATAGGTTTCTTGAAGAGGTGTCCATAACTGATACATCCACATCCAAAATTACTAGTCCTTTTGCAAACAACTGAGTAGCCACTAATCAATGACCACCTCTTTCCTCCCTCCAGTTTGAGAGAAAACTCTAACAGTAATGATGACTTATGGTATAATACTTTTGTTGTTAAGAAAAACTAGGGGAAATATTAGGCTACTTTCACTTTCCTTCAAATATCATTACCTCTTGAGCATTTTTCCATCTCTTCAGAAGACTGTAGCCAAGAGGAAATCCTGGACTCATTACTTGAAAAGGAAAATGACAAATTACCTCCAGTTGACATTGAATTCTGTTTGGTCAAGCTGCTTGTCTGTTCAAAAGAAACAAAAACAAGTGCATTATTAACAAACATTATTTTAATGTTATATACACAAATTTTGACAATCAACAGTTGAGTTCCATGATCACAGCCAAAGACATCAATTACATGGAGGGAAAAAAGTGTATGATCTAGACTAGGTATACAGTCATTGAGCATAATGGCAGGTTATCTAACATAATTGCTGCCTACAAGCAGTAGAAATACTAAAGGAACCATAAAATTTGCTGAAAACTAAATTTTGAGGAAGGGCAAAGTTCTGCATAAATTAGTTCAACTTAATACAATTAAAGTACCATATCTGAGCAGGATCAAATTTGGACATTCTGTTCCTCCTGCACGGTCCCCAAAGAAGCCCCAGAAGTAACTTAAATGTACCATGCACGTGTTTGTTAAAGCTATTTTTCAGGGTAAAAGCAAGATGCACTAGATATTATTTCAAAATTTTACTCAAAGTTGTATGACTTCAGCACGCATTTGGCTCAACAGGCCTTAATACAGGTATGATCACACACCTCATCTGGGTAAATACTACCCTTTTACAACGTCTCTGTACACATCTTCAAACTTAGCTCAGTTTCAGCAGTGTCCACTATCAGGTGTGTCAGATGATGCAGGAAATTCTGTGTAAGAGCTAACTGAGCAGTACAATTAAATAGTTTCCAATGTGAAGAAATTTCTGCCCAGTACTACTACCAGTTGATCGTGGCCTATAATGCTGTTTTCTTCCGTAATGTAACTACAAATAATAGCCATTCAAATGCTTAATTATTTGTACACCCTACTAAACCTTTCATTTTCAATAATACCTACATCAGGAAGTGGCACAAATTACATGCTTTGTCAACATCTTTTTTAAAAGCAGTTTTAAAATGTTTCACCTTAAGTGCCATTACACAACCAGTTTACTGGTTATAAGAAAAGCTGACTAAATTGTTTGGCTCTTCTCTGAAGCATACAATTTACAAACTTTGTTACCTCCTGCTCATCTTATATCAAAGCTCTGGTAGTACTAGTTTTTAAATCTATTCCTAAGAAACATCATCTACATCTCAGTCTGTTGCAGTCTTCTTAGATGGTCTTTTTAAATTTACAATATAACCTCCAACATGAGTTGCAGAATAAAATAAAACGCACTATCCATGTGACATCATTCAGTACTGTGTCAGTATGCAATAGCAGTAAGCACCAATAAGCACACTTATTTTAAAATTAATCTATGCAGTTTGACTGTTTTATTCCTACATAAAGCTGTATGAGCTTTAACCATATATATACATATACCCAAATAATAATCTCAGCACCTTTAAAAGCACAAGTAAACTGAATTTAAAGATGAGGAATTGTATTGGCATTTTGTGAACAAATTCCATATTTATCTCTTCAGAAATCTATCTCACATAACCAACTTCTCCAGAACTCATAAACATAAGGGACATGAGCAGGACGAAAGAAGGAAATAGGCATTGCCAAACACCAATACACAAACAGGCAAGAGTTTGTGTAGCTCCAGTTCACATAGTTTTGCTTTGAATCAGCATGGCTAAGCTTCAGAATACAAGCATTCCACATAGACATATGTAGATACACACAATAAAAAAAAATGTGAAAACCACACGTTGTATTTTTCTCAAAATAATCTTACTGCTGGATTGATATCAACTAACATCCAGCTAGGGCTGGTGTAAATTGGCAGAGTTCCATTTAGCTTCAGCAGAGCTAAGGTGATTAACTGCAGCTTAAGAACTATCCCCTTCTATTTTTCACATGAAAATAAGTAGGGCTTCTTTGCAGTGAAAATCTGGATTAATAGTCTGAATTAAGTCTTTCATGCCAAAGAAGAAATGGTTGGTTTCCTTGCAGTAAGCATAGATTTTAGATATGCTGGTCACATGGATTCTGGTTTTTTTTCTTTTTTTTTTCTTCTTTGAGAACACCGGCATAAATATATCATGGACTTTGCAAATGTTCCACTTCTGCCCTTGATATTCTTCCCCACTTCTATCCCTGCTGTCTTTTGGGAGAAAATAACTAAATGGACACAGGAGATTTGCCATTTCCCTGCAGACACAGCCTCAGAAGAGCAGGCTGTCAGAGCCACAGAGCTGCTGGCGCCACAAAATACGTGCAAACAACTCTTTGCAGAACGGCCTTGTTACTGCAGGATGAGTTATTGTTCTTTCAGCTGCCTGCTCACACAGATCCCCTCCCTCTCAACCCTGAGCAAAAAGCTGTTCAGGCACATGTTCGTGTTTGCTAAAACTCAAACTCAGTTACAGGATAAAGTGATGAACTACAGGTGCTGAGGAACAAGCCCATTCAGATCATACAGCAATTATCCCAGGGAAAAGAAAACCTTAGACAGCAGGATAACAAGGAGTTGGTTGGTATTTAGGAGACACTCTGGAGCTGACAGAAACAGAGTGCCATTTCAGTTGTAGTAAGTAAAACAGTAGAGATGTGAGTCACAAAAGACACCAGTGGTTCTACACTGGAGCAGAAGAGCTTCTTTGGGTGAAAGTCAGCCAGTTAATGCACAGACAGCTGAAGGCACAGAGGCTGTGTCCAGACACGGAACACACACACTCTTCCATGAAGCTGCATCAAAAATGTCATTTATGGTGTTGGACTAAACATTTGTCAAGTCATTTGTGAAACTATCAGTCACAGACTCTACCAAAAGATAAGTACACTGTTAGCTGGACCCATTCAGATCCCATGCCCACCCACAGCATGGTGGGTGGGTATTTAAATATAAATTTAAATATATGAAATATATAAAATATAAATTCAAATATAAGTAGTGGCCCCAGGTGATGGATTCTTGTATAATTCCCAGCTAAGTAGCCAGCTTCATTAATGTAAAAGGGCAGAGGGTTTATTAGCTAAAGGATATATGGCAAAATGCTAAAGGGAAAAAAATACCTAGCTGAGTGCTCTTCTGTGACCTAGACTAATATTCACCAGCACATATCATACAAATACTGACATATGTCTCAAAAATTATGAGGATTCTAACTCAATATACAGTCTTGAAAGTCAATATAAAATACATTTGTCTGTAATATAAATAAGAATATAAAATGAAAATATAATTTACTGGATTAAAACAATGAAACATTATTATAAAATTTAACAGCATCATAAAGAAAACTGCTTAGGAGTAAATCAATAAATAATTTAATTTTTCTCTTGACATTTTAGAACATAACTTAAATGCCACCACAAACTTCCATTATGCTCTTTATTTAATAAACACAAATCAGACTAATTTAATTCACCATGAAAGCTCATTATTTATAAATAATAACTATTACCTTTCTACCTGAAGCAGAATCACAGAAACCAGGGACAGAATCCGTAGTAGTAGATACAGGGAAGAAAATATTATTGGTGTCATGAGGAAACATGGAGATTTCATTCTGACGGTACATTCTGTGATGACGAAGTTTTGCTACCCATTCATCAAACAGCTCCTGAGATTTCACCTACACAAAATTTCAGGTTTTATAACATTCACATTCAAAAATCACTTACAGAGATACTAAGGTATTTTGTGTTCCTTGGACAAGTAGCCTGGTTGGCCTTTATTAGCAAACTATCAGAAGAGTTTTTCTAAGGACGGTCCTATTAAAAATGCATACTGTATGAGCTTAAGAATGACAGAAAATCACAGGATAAAGTCAGGAAAAAGAGAAACTACAGTTAGTAGTTATGAGTTCCAATGCAGAACACAATAATTAGCAACTTATACATAAAAACCCCTACAATGTAAAGAAAACCCCACACATTAAATTGTCATTTTTTAATTGCCATTGTTAAAGTTAGGTCAAAGAAAACAGAAACTTGATTTTGGTGATGTATTTTAAAACTATTTATTCCACAAAGATAGATAAATCCCCATACTTGACCATGGAAAATACTTCCTATAGATAAGACAAAGATATAACTACTGAAAATAAAAGCACTTGTGCAACAACTGAAAAAAGTGCTAGGTGAAAAGAGTGCTGCTAAGCATGAAGCATCTTCAAGGTTTCTGTTCAGAACAGTGTTACTGATTCTGGACTCCAAAACAGAATAATAATGCCTCTCAAGTGTAAACTAATCCACTGAGACTACCAAATTATTAGTGTAACTGACAGACCTCTTGCTATCGAAAAAAGCAACAAAAGGGCTTCATCATACACAGCTATTGTTATTAATTCGGGAACAAGGTTATAACAATCTTGAAGACCCACCTTCAGATGGTATATCTGCTCTTCTGTATCCAAATCTATACATTTTGTTGATTTCTTTACAGACATGACAGAAAGTCCAACATCAATACAGCCATGAAGTTTTCCTCTCTCTATCTGCAAAAAAGTAAAAATACAATCACTCCAGGATAAAGCAAAAAGATAACCTCCATTCTTTAATGGACACGGGCAGGAACATAGTTATCAAAGATGAGGAAAAGGCTGAGGTATTTAACACTTTCTTTACCTCAGTTTTCAACAGTAAGACAGGTTGTCCTGAGGACAGCTGGCTTCTGGAGCTTGTAGAAAGAGATAAGAATCTGAACAGCCCCCCTGTAATCCAGGAGGAAACAGTTAACAACCTGCTGAGCCACTTGGATCCCCACAAGACTATGGGACCAGATGGGATCCACCCAAGGGTGATGAGGGAGCTGGCAGAGGAGCTCGCCAAGCCGCTGTCCATCATCTACCCAGATGACTGGAAGTTGGCAAATGTCACGCCAATCCACAAAAAGGGCCAGAAGGAGGACCAGGGAAACTACAGGCCCGTCAGCCTGACCTCAGTGCCTGGCAAGGTTATGGAGCAGATCATCCTCAGTGCAATCACACGGCACCTACAGGATGGACAAGGGATCAGACCCAGCCAGCACAGGTTTAGGAAGGGCAGGTCCTGTCTGACCAACCTGATCTCCTTTTATGATCGAGTGATCCACCTGGTGGATGAGGGGAAGGCTGTGGATGTGTCTACCTGGACTTCAGCAAAGCCTTTGACACCATCTCCCACAGCATTCTCCTGGAAAAGCTGCAGCCCACGGCTTGGACAGGGGCACCCTGTGCTGGGTTAGGAACTGGCTGGAGGGCCGGGCCCAGAGAGTGGTGGTGAACGGGGCTGCGTCCAGTTGGTGGCCGGTCACCAGTGGTGTCCCCCAGGGATCAGTGTTGGACCCAGTTCTGTTTAATATCTTTACTGATGATTTAGATGAGGGGATTGAGTTCACCATCAGCAAATTTGCAGATGATGCCAAGGTCGAGGGGAGTGTCAATCAGCTGGAAGGCAGGAGGGCTCTGCAGAGGGACCTGGAGAGGTTGGAGAGCTGGGCTGATTCCAGCGGGATGAGGTTCAAAAAGGCCAAGTGCCGGATCCTCCACTTTGGCCACAACAACCTCATGCAGCGTTACAGGCTGGGGACAGAGTGGCTGGAGAGCAGCCAGGCAGGAAGGGACCTGGGAGTTTGGATTGACAGGAAGCTGAACATGAGCCAGAGTGTGCCCAGGTGGCCAAGAAGGCCAATGGCATCCTGACCTGGATCAGGAACAGTGTGGCCAGAAGGAGCAGGGAAGTGATTCTTCCCCTGTACTCAGCACTGGTGAGGCCACACCTCGAGTACTGTGTTCAGTTCTGGGCCCCTCAGTTCAGGAAGGATATTGAGGTGCTGGAGCAGATCTAGAGAAGAACGATGAGGCTGGTGAAGGGACTCAAGCACAAGTCCTGTGAGGAGAGGCTGAGGGAGCTGGGGCTGTTCAGCCTGGAGAAGAGGAGGCTCAGGGGAGACCTCATCACTCTCTACAACTACCTGAAAGGAGGTTGTGGCCAGGTGGGGGTTGGTCTCTTCTCCCAGGCAGCAATCAGTAAGACAAGAGAGCATGGTCTTAAGCTGTGCCAGGGGAGGTTTAGGTTTGATATTAGGAAGAAATTCTTTACAGAAAGGCTAATCAGGAATGGGCTGCCCAGGGAAGTGGTGGATTCTCCATCCCTGGAGGTTTTTAAGATGAGACTGGATGTGGCACTTAGTGCCATGGTCTAGTAACCACGGTGGTAGTGGATTAAGGATTGGACTTGATCTCGGAGGTCCCTTCCAACCCAGCTGATTCTATGATAAATACTACCTGCTGAAACCATAATTTCCTCCCCTCTCAACTTACTGTTTAGAATGCCTGAAACTCTATTTCTCATTAGCAACAACAGGGAACTATTGCTACTTCCAATAAAATATTGTTGTATACTTTATAAAGGCCTTAAGGGGTTTCAGATCACTTACATCAGCTTGGCATTTAGAATACTTCAAAATCCCTCTGTCCAAAAAGAAGTATCTCTGTAACCAGAAATGTAGAAAATTAAAAACAAACTAAACACACACAAAAAACCTAAACAGAAAACCACCACAAACACACCCTCCTCCCTTCCCTTTCTTTGGAGAACACCTTCTCTGCTTTTAAGTAACCTTTTTGCCACAAAACCACACCAAGTAAGTCCCACTCAGGTGGCATCAAGCTTTCAGATACACATTTCTTTCCTACCTTGTGCCAGCCTTTCAAAGGCCATTTTCTCTTTTTCAGCAAGCAGCCCTCCTGCTTCTGCGGCTCCTGGGTACAATTCATTGCTCCCCGGAGTCCTTCTACAATTTCCCAGCTGTCCTGCTTAAACAGAAAATCCAAATGTAGATCTTATTTCTTCCAAAGAACTGAATTGTTAAGAGAGATTCAAGAAGAAGAAGGCTATAAGAAAAAAAACAAAACCCAATTGTTGTTGAAATCTAACCAAAGATCCATCTTTGCACTTTTAAATATCTTCCAAGAGATAAGATTACTTTTTATCTTCATAGAAACAATACCAACTCAACAAAACATAATTTTTATGACAACATCCTTCATTGCATCTATGTGCTTACCAGAATGTTATATGTATATTTTCGTGTACATACATACACGCAGTACATAACCACAGCGTAGTCACAAATTAGCATAAAAAATTTTCTGCTATCACAGGCAGAAACAGTCTTATGTTAAAATGATATGTTTTTATAAGTTATGAAGCTAAAAAGAAAAGACACTGAAAATGAAGAACTTTTCCATAAAACTCTTTTGCCCATATTCAGTAAGTCAAAGTTTTTTGCCTGGTGTAAATTGCAGTCTCCCTAAAGTAAAAATAATAAAATAAAATATAAATTAAAAAGCCAAGAAAGTAACTTGAGTACTACAAGGAACATGACATAAAGGGAACATGCAAGAAAAATAAAAACGACCTTTCGTAAGATGCAACTGTATTTAAAAGAGAATCTCTTTTTTGTCATCAGGAACTCTTAAATGAAAGACCCTGCAGCAACATAACAGAGAAGAGACTAAATGTCATAATATTTTTACAGTTTTTATATGGAACAACTGCAAATGACAAGATAACATCAGTTTCAATGTTTCTGATCAGAGATCTCATTAATTAACTATTGCCAGCTACCACAGGGTTTGGCAGACGTAGAATGATAACAACTGACAGGAAATGGTATGTGCTAGTACCATCCCCTTATATTTGAAAAAGACAAACAATAGTTTAACACAGATTGTAATGACAAAAAAAGAACTAGTATGAAATACTTTAGGGAAAACAGAACTATAGCAGGTAGGTAAGTACTCATAGTCCTCCCTGTAAGATACATAGGTAAGTATTCCCCAAAAGAACTTGACTGGCTACAAAAAAAAAAATTTAAACTAAAAATGAAACAAAACAAAACAAAAATCAGCAAGAGTGCTAATTTTCCTCATTTATCTATCTCCAGAATCCTTAACATTCACTTCTTTAAACTCAGAGAAAAAATTACATCAGGTATTATACTCATTACTTGTGAAACACGGCATTAAAAGAAACCATCTTCAAAAAGACATTCTTTAATTTCATCATGTTACTGTTGGCACTCCACTACTTCTTTATTATTTTCCTTGTGCTGCACTTAATGGAACAAACTGGAAACCTGCTCTGCTTTCCTGTTTTGAGTTCAGTCTCTCAACATTCACTACAGAACAAGCCGCAAGCAGTAGAAATGTGGGGCTGAGCAGCTCCTGTCATTCAACATCTCACAGATCACTCAACGATGTCCTGCTACCTGAACGCAAGTCAAGAGTGTAGTTGTTCTAACAAAAATTTTTATCAGGGCACACATTTTTTGTCCCTACAGATCAGTAGGGATTTGTCAGTTTATCTCTGTCACTTTTGTAACAAATAACTTCTTTACTCCCTCCACCACTTTAAGAGACGTTTTGACAGCTCCTTAGATACCATTATTTCTAACCAACAATCATGAAAATATTTTTTTCTATTGAAAACCAGAAGTTACACTCCATATTCTTTATTATTTTTTTTTATTTGTACTACTTTGGGACTCACTTAGAATTCTCAATAATCATGAACCCTTTCCTGCTCTGGGGTAAATTACTATGGATCAGATCAGGGAGCAGAAAAGTTACTCATGGATATCATGAGTCAGAGGGCTGCAGGAAGACAGGAGGCCTCCTGGGTTGTCTCCAGCACATCAGTCCAACACCAGCAGCAAAATCTGCTGGTCGAGCCCATCAGCATTGGTCTTTCACAGGGTGATGAAGCAGAGAGCAAGTCCGTGCCCATGCAAGGACAGCTAGCTAGAGTTTGCTAGCTGCTGTTTGACAGCTCCTCAAGTGCAAAGACAGATCTAAGCCTCCACAATTAAGGACCTTTCCACCACCACCACCTTTTTTTTTTTTGACAGAACATTCCCGTCTACAATTTTGGAAGCCAAAGAGAAATTATGTTCCACCACCTCTTTTGCCTTAAATTTAAATATAGGCAAATAAATTTTTCCTGAATGGTCTTGGATTTCTCTTTCCTGTAAAGATTATTTATTAACCCTTATATAATCACAAGGACTGGGACTGTTATGATGACAGAGAGCAGACTCTTTATATATCATCAAATATAATGTAATGCTACAATTTACACTAAGTAACACCTGAAATTGCTGCTGCTTAAATGCCCACATGTGGATAAAATCTCATGTCCTCAGAAAATATGATCTACTAAATAAGCCAATATAAAAAAATAATCTTGATATTAGCTGATTTCAAATTGGGGACTTGAATAAAGGAAAACATTTTAAAACATAAGAAACCTGATGGAACTAATGAGATAATTCTAACTAAGAACTAACAGGAGCACCTGGGAGATTAAGAAAAATGTTGTGTTAATGGTTTTGTTTCTTTCTTCTTCGAAGAGCTTAAAAGCTGTTTTGCCCAATTACCAAGCAAGCTCTTTCCTTTGTCTTGCCAAAATATATTAAACTGCAGTACCCAAACACCTAAATTTTCTACGGAGAATTAATCTGGTAGTAGTTAAGACTAGCAAACAGTAGATCCTTTTCAATATTCTAGTGTTGTAGCTAACGAAACAACTTCTCCAACTTTGGGATCAAGTTCCCACAGACTGCAGTTAAGCATAATAATAGTATATCATTGACGGATCGGTCTGCTTGCAGGAGGCAAGCAGAAATTTGAGCATGGTCAAAGAAAACATAGTAATCCAGATTCACAGAATCATAGAATATTGTGGGTTGGAAAGAACCTTAAAACTCATCTAGTTCCAGCCCCTCTGCCATGAACAGGGACACCTTTCACTAGACCAGGCTGCTCATAGCCCCATGCAGCCCAGCCTTGAACACTTCCAGGGATGGGGGCATCCACAACTTCTCTAGGCAACCTGTTCCAGTTCCTCACAACCTTCGCCGTAAAGAATGTCCTCCTAACATCTAATCTAAATCTCCACTCTTTTAGTTTAAAACCATTCCCCTTTGTCTTATCAGTATGTGCCCATGTAAAAATTTGTTCTCCATCTTTTTGGTAAGCTTCCTTTAAGTACTCAAAAAGCTTGCAATGAGATCTTTGTGGAACCTCATCTTTAGATAAGTTTAGAAAGTTAGAAGTTAGACAGACCCACGCTATATTTGAGCGTATGAGGTGGAAAAGGAAGCAGCTGAGAAACAGATCAGCCAATTACACCCACCTGGAATATACACGGTGTTAACAGTTTTGATCAAACTTTAAAATACAGAACACATTATGGCCTGCATTACGACTCCAATTTTATCTGGATCTCTCCTGCAGTTCAGACACAAGGTGTCTCACATTCCTGCAGGAAAGCCACACTTATCAGTGCTCTTCAGGTCAATGAGGTGGTCTAGAATGTGCCTTCACAATTAAAAAGTGTGAAAATGTGAAGAAAAACAGAAGTGGGAGCACTGATTCCCATCAAGCAGGCTCAATGATCTGCCAGATCTCAGGTGGTGAAGGCAAGCTTCCAGCTCACCTTTCTGCCCTGGGAACCCCACACTTCAAAGGTAGCTTAGTTGCATTAGAAATTGATCCTCTTAAAAGCTTACAGAATTAACAGTTTGGGGACCCGCTGGATACATGCAAGGTGTAATGATGCATTATCAGCATCTGGTCCTCTTCCATTATACATCCTTCCAGAAGAATAAAACCTATCCCACCTGAACAGCCAAACTCTCATATTTTCCAAAACACTGCTGCTGTAACTGGTTTTGGATCCATTTGCTCTTGACCCAGACCCTATACATCTTGATCAGGACTTTGATTTGCAAGAGATCTAACACCTTACTGAATGAGGAAAGAGTGTCAGCTGGCTATTGCTGGGAGCAGCTGCAGAAGTGAAAGAAAAATGCTTACTCTCTAAAATGAAGGCAAATGAATCAAGCTGGTTGATTATCATCTGTACTCATCCATCTGAAATAGCAGAGGAGCAAACTGGAGATACAGGATTTCCTGAAAGAATTCAGGTTATGCTGCCTTTTGCTGATTCTTATCCCACAATAGGGAACTGAAAGAGATAGCCCAAACCACAGCACTAACTTAAAAAAAACCCAAACAATGACACTCCCTCATCTTCCCTCCCACCCCCAACTCCCAGACGAATGGCATTTACAATTCTAGCATCAGTCTGACGTACAGATTGGTTGTGTCTTAAAATTATGACACTAAAAAAGATACTTTGCGTCATTATGGGCCAAAATCTGCACAAAATGATCAACATTGCATTTCCTGCTCAGGAAGAAATTTCACTTGGGGTTAAGGGAGGAATAAAATCTTTACTTCTCTAAGGTCCAGAGGTGCTCCTTTAAGATCAGCACTGAAAAACCACCCTGTAGATGCTACTTGGCCTATACCTGCTCTGTGGATGAGGGAAAAAACCCATACACTTTGGTCTTCAGAGTTAAGCCCATCATTATGTAAATGTAGTAATTTTCTTTGTTCAATGAGATAAAACCTCCTCATTTTTTGCAATATTCTGCACCGCACAGTTCCTCAAGGCAAATTATTTCAGGAGAAAGTACGAAGTAATGATTCTGAATGGCTCTCAGACTGATGCTTGCAGTTTCAGTCCCTGAACGAAACAGATGATAGCGACAGACTTTCTTCCAGTGCAAAATGCAGTCAGTTGTACCAAATATTTTGAAGTGCCAAAAATAGAAAACTGCTTTGTGGAGGATAAGGGGTGGCATCAGCTGCAACTAAAGCATTTGTTATGGTTCATAAAATTGGCAGAAATGATTTAATTTTATTTTACAGAACATGAGGTTTTTTTAAGTGGTTCTCCTGTCATAAAGCTTTTCCCTAGTGGACCTATTTTAAAAGTTAGTTAACATATTAGATTTAAAAATAACTACCAAAATATATCTTCTTTTGATCACAGGTCAACTTAAATTTGAATAACATCAACATCAGTTTTCCTTCCTCACAAAACACAGTTTGTTTGTCTCTTCCACGTCTTGGGAAAGAGAATCCTTTCCATAATTGAAGGAGAGAGGCAGAGAAAAGCAAAGAGGTGGGAAGCAGCAGTAGCCTCCAACTTGCCATGAGGCTTCAAGATGAAGGTGAACTCAGTGGAAGAGGATTACTTTTTCACCTGTTCAGTTCGCACTGCAAGTGTGTTACATCTGGTCTGAAACGGACACCAAATGGAGCAAAAGAAGTAGATCCCTCCAAGTCTTGCAGCCCTGCTTAAGTCAACTCCTTTCTAGCACAGTGGCCCATTTTCTGCATCACAGGCCTCATGGTCCACATCAGCAGCACACCAACTAAATTTTAGCAGACTCAGCAACCCTGCACTACTGTTGTTCCATATCCCGATCTCAGGTCACCTGGTGCTAGTGTACACCAGCAACAATCTGTGCCTAGGAAATCAGAGAGACTCAAAACTCAGATCCTGCTGTTTTCTGGGCAAACCTCCCCCCACCCCAACTTTCCTCTCCCCTACACTTTTAAGAATTTCTTTCTACTTAATCAGATTCAAAGAACTGCTATCAGAGCAGCAGCACAGAGAAAAACACCTGTCAGACAGATCTGTTGCTAACCTGCAAGCCACAAGCCTACTTCTGAAGGTGCCTGAGAGAGACACAGGTGTCTGAAGGAGAAATAATTAGCCCTCCATGAAGAAGGAGAAGGAAGATGAAGGAAAGAATATCAAAATCATAGCACAGCACACAGCAACATCATTTAAACTTTCATGATACTATTCATAAAAAAGTATCAGTAACCGTGTTACATTCTACTAGTCCACCAGCATTTTGAAACAAAAAAAAACCAACAAAACCAAATCCAAACAAATAGGCAAACAAAAACCTGCTGGAAGTTGTTGCATATGTGGTCCTTTTTGGATTAGAGGATTTTTAACAATTTTTATAGAACTTGAGATTGTTGCTGTTTTCTTAACAGAACACTTAAAGTACTGTCATTTAAACTAATATACAGATGGAAAGGGCAAATTAAATGACCCTCAGGCATTGGCATCACTCATTCCCAGTCTTGTCAGCCCTGTTTTGGTGGGTATTAGCAGGGACAGACTACAAAACTCCAGTTTGCCAATACAAGAAACAGAAAAGAAGCGATTAATAATATAAATCAAACTACTCAATCTGGCATGACAAGAAATCCTCTGTGGGAAGAGGGGAGCAAAGGGACAGGACACAAGAAAGATCTCAACATCCTCACTACCTGCACCAATAATTAGATTTTATAATATATGCTATACTGTATGGTTTGCACCACTGAAGAAAGGGTCTATCTAGCAGGGTAAAGATCTGTACAATCTATAAGACCAGAGCCTTCTAGAGAACAGGAACAGGGACAAGACATCTGTTCCTCACCAAAGCACTGCAATGTCCAAATCAGTATGTCTGGCAGAGTACTACCTCTGTTAGACCTAAAGGTCCATCTTCCCACAAGCAGCACAGAAGAGTATAGCCAATAAAACATTCACTGAAACCTGCTACCATCACAAATTATAATTAACAAATAAATTCAAAAAGTAAGGTAAAATGACCCATAGATATTACTTTCAAGTAAATATCCGAAGTGCATAACACACAGCGTGTTTAAATCTTATTAAAGATATTTAAAGCTTTTTTTTCCTTTTAAGTATTGTCTTATTTAATCTCTTTTCCCCAGTAAAACAGTTTCCTGTGTAAACTGCGAGACAACTTCAGTTTGAAAAAACAGCCACATGAAAAACACCAAAACCATCAGGGAATTTAAGAAGGAACAGAAATACGCAGCCATGCACATAAACACTGACAATGCTGAAATGAACTCTAATTTAGAATTATTTTTTTTTTCCCATTTTAAATATCACTACTTTGAAGTAAGATCTCTACATCACTTCAAGAGTTGCAAACAAAGTTATAGGATAAGCTAGAGAGTTATTGCACTTGGTAAAGAAGGAAACAGAGAAATTATTAAAGTATTCCTTGCAGATATTAGAAATCTCTATTTAAAAAATAAAAAAATATCATAAATACCAGTGTAACCTTAAAAAGTGCACATAATTTCCAGAAAATATGTTTGTAAATTTTCAGACTGTATAGAAAAAGCAAGCAAGCAGAGCTCTTAGCTCTGCTTAGTGGTTACTTCCCAGCATATAACAAGTCACACAAACTCCCCGAGGTCTGTGGTTTGCCTCTGTCATCATCACCATCTAGAAATATGGACAATCAGTCAACCCGTGTAGGTTCCCCAGTGAAAAAGTATATTGTTATTTATACTTGGTAATGCAATCACTGGCCATGAAATGTTTAATAAGGAAACACTGATCTAAGTGGAGATATTTATCACAACACCCCATAGTATCACAAACAAATATCAACTGTATTGCCCTTCATTATACATTGGGAAACAATCTACTTTGTAACTCCATTTAGCTTGACTTGAGAGGTCTATAAGGCCATTTACCATCTGCCTGACTCCCATGAACGAGCACGGATGTCCCAGGAATACACACAAAACACCAAGCTGTGTCTCTCACCTTCCTCAGGTACACCTTGCTTTTTTGCACAAGGGTCAAAGACTAAAAAATTGGGGACTGA